TGTCCTCTTAGGAGAAGCCACCTGCTCCTTTGCGAACAATGTCCCTATTCTTTGAGGGGCCGGTACGACGGCGCACGGTGCACCGAACCAGGGACAAAAATCACTCGGTTCAAAAACTATATTTATACTACGTTGAAATGTCTGAATAATCGTGTTTGTGTACAGAAAGTTCAGAAAGTTCGGTAGGGGGCTAATTCCAAGCGCATTCTGCAAGCGAAACGTTTCGGCGAAATAATAGGTTGTCTATGGGTTGTTGAATTGTAGTGGAACTTTAGAAATTTTATAAAACCTATATGCAACATAATGACAGACCTGAAATTAAACGTACAAGTTTTATTCGTTTTCCTATTATTTAGATAACGTTTTTAAAAAAACGGCGATCTTCGCAATATATCTGTTTCGAAGAGACGAACGTTTTAAGAGTTCGTTAAAACTCATCTAAAAATGCATGTACTGAAAATTCGCAATAAATTGACGATTTGTTTAGAAAGATCATCTTTTATAGATAAATATAAATAATAATATTATAAATGTATAATAAATATAAATAACAATAATAATATAAATGTATAATAAATATAAATAGTAATAATATAAATATAAGACTATATTTATAATAATTGCATACTGAAATTACTTTCAATATAAACAAAAAAACCACGTTGTTTCATATCTTTACCATAAAGAGAACGGAAGCTATTGAATTTTGTCTTCAAAAACAAGCATTTCGGTGCACTGTGACTTTCTAGACAGGTGTGAACGAATAAGCCGCATTAGATGTCTTAGTTTCAAGTTGCATCTTCTAGGGTTTAAAAGGATCAACTCTCCGGTCGGTGTTATAGATTATTTGAAACCAAAATAATGTCAGCCTATCTGTCTTCGATTTCCGTTGCCGCTGAGACAAGACACCAGTTCCGGTCATTGTATCAATGGGACGGTGTCTTTCTGTTGTGATAAGATTGGTCGGCTCGCTCAGCCTTAGCGTGGCAGTTGTCCAAAGATTATGACAGTCAAGCAACGAGTGCTCGTGGTATCTCGTCGAATAAGGGACAAATTTAGGGCAAATAGGCAAATTTCTTCTTCTCCAAACATTGTACGTATCTCAAAAATCGTTGCACGAAAGAACCTAGGACAATCCTTGTGCAAATTGTTGCTTACATGTATGTAATTTATTAGTGAGAAGGGATCCATCTTACAACGTGTACAAACCGAAAGAGAACATACAAGAATCGTTTCGAAGGCATGACATGCCATCTGCAACATTCAAACTTCTCCAAAGGATATGTTTAACGAACAAGGCATTTTACGAAACAATAGTTTANTATAAATGTATAATAGATATAAATAACAATAATAATATAAATGTATAATAGATATAAATAACAATAATAATATAAATGTATAATAAATATAAATAACAATAATAATATAAATGTATAATAAATATAAATAGTAATAATATAAATATAAGACTATATTTATAATAATTGCATACTGAAATTACTTTCAATATAAACAAAAAAACCACGTTGTTTCATATCTTTACCATAAAGAGAACGGAAGCTATTGAATTTTGTCTTCAAAAACAAGCATTTCGGTGCACTGTGACTTTCTAGACAGGTGTGAACGAATAAGCCGCATTAGATGTCTTAGTTTCAAGTTGCATCTTCTAGGGTTTAAAAGGATCAACTCTCCGGTCGGTGTTATAGATTATTTGAAACCAAAATAATGTCAGCCTATCTGTCTTCGATTTCCGTTGCCGCTGAGACAAGACACCAGTTCCGGTCATTGTATCAATGGGACGGTGTCTTTCTGTTGTGATAAGATTGGTCGGCTCGCTCAGCCTTAGCGTGGCAGTTGTCCAAAGATTATGACAGTCAAGCAACGAGTGCTCGTGGTATCTCGTCGAATAAGGGACAAATTTAGGGCAAATAGGCAAATTTCTTCTTCTCCAAACATTGTACGTATCTCAAAAATCGTTGCACGAAAGAACCTAGGACAATCCTTGTGCAAATTGTTGCTTACATGTATGTAATTTATTAGTGAGAAGGGATCCATCTTACAACGTGTACAAACCGAAAGAGAACATACAAGAATCGTTTCGAAGGCATGACATGCCATCTGCAACATTCAAACTTCTCCAAAGGATATGTTTAACGAACAAGGCATTTTACGAAACAATAGTTTAAAAAGAAACGTTTAAATGTATACAATTAAAACTAACAAATTCTACCAACATAACCGTTCCTTTAACTTTCCTGCGTTTTTCGGTACACATTTCTTCGCACGAAAAATTTTGAACGTTCCGCAAATCCCGCAGAGATCCGCGACAACAAAAAGATAAATCGGCTGAAGCGCGACAGATCAAATTTTCTCTCGTCGAAAAATTGGGACACCGATTTGGTCTCGGGAGAGCTCGCCGTTCGACACAGAGACGCGCTTCTTACGTAACACTGGCGCAGCGATTGTCCACGGAAGCATCGACGTCGCCGACAGTGAAATTCAATTAAAATCCCGCAGCGATTTCGTTATCTTTCCTCTGGAAGATTGTCGAACGGTTCGATCGGTCCCGATAGATTCGATTTCGGAAGCGAGCCAGCGCGGCGACGCGAAAGCAAACAGAAATGATGTCTGTGATGGACGAAGTGCTCGAGAATCGACGAGCGCGGAAGCGGCGGGGCTCGTCGAAACGGTGCTTCAACTTCCGGCGAAGCACGAGTGGATAAAGGTGTATTGTGTGCTGCTCGTGTCACGGGCCGAGCGTTTTTTTTTCCTTCATTCTTCCGGCTCTCCGGCGACAAATAGGCTCCGGGAGTCGCAGTTAGCAAGTTTTTTAACGATCGTTGTGACCGCTCGCGACAGCGGCTTTTCTTCTCCGGGAGGGAATCATCGCCGGGATTTAACAGCTCGGAACTTTTCGAAGTCGGCCCAGGGTGAAATTGTTCAAGAGCCGGAGACCGAGAGGAGTGAGAGAGAGGGGGGGGGGAGGAGAGAGACAGAGGCTCCGTGCTCCGGGAAACTAACTTTATCCCCGAATTCGCGGGATTGAATCGTTTGGAAACGGGGATTGTCCCGTTTCGAGCATCCTCTAATTAAAATTATGGCCCAGGCGATTCGTCGGAATGAATGCAATTGGAATTAGCGCGGAGCGCCGTGCCGAAGAGAATTCGGCTTTTCAGTTTGTTGCACTGCTCGGAGTCCCGACTGGGGTTCGCTGATGTTGGCAAATTGTGATCAAACGACCGTGCACGGAAGAAAAATACTTAGCTCCGGCGGCTGGCTCCGCGACTCATTAGAGAAATTACGAGATCGTCAAAGCGCCGCTATCGGAATTAAAAGCGGCGCACGTCGCGGATTATTTTGTTTAGGAATTAGAGGAAAGCGTTCCTCTGTGCTTGGAAGAAACAGGGTTTATGGATCGGCTGATGCAAAACAAGTCGGAGCACCCGGCTTAACGTCAACATCCCCGAACGGACAGAAGGCTGTTTTACGGGAAAACAACTCGAGGGTGCAACAGAAAACCTTTCGCTTCCATCCCACTGCTCGGGCTTGCAACAAGCGGCGCACAACAAGTTATATTTTCGGATTATTTTCGCGGAAAACAAGCTGCCGGCGGCCGGTTGCACCAATCACCCTGAAGCACCCGACTCAACGTGAAGCGTTTCGCGAATTTCTGACAAGCCCATGCTTCCATTAGCCCCCCCTCCCGTAACTCGTTAAAAATTCCTGTTAACCCAATTTCGAATTTTCCTCCCCTACGTAAATCGTTCCCGTCGAGGACAGGATAATGAACACTTAAGGCGCATGTCTGCAGTGCTTAACAATCATTAATCGTTATCAAATCCCGTAAATGCCGTCGCGTGCAGCTGTTTCGTTATCGGACTGCGGATTTTATTTGTTTACGATTTCAGTTTATGGTTTATTGTTTTGGCTTATTAGACCGATTAGAAGAATTCTGTTTGACTTCCGTTTCTTCCAGTTGATGTAGATTGTTTTTTGGTTTGCCTGAACATCCAAAGTCTAATTAGCAGAGTTTAATTCTAATCGTAGGATTCGGACAAAAAAGGAATGTGAACAATCGATGTACAAACTTATGTGAATAATCCGATATTACACACCAATGTAATTAATCCAGCGGAAGTGATAGCTGATCCACAGCGGTCCACGAAACTTTTTATTGAAACTGAACTAAATAACTTGAATCTTTTTCAAATGTTAGAGGGTCTAGTCTACTAGACGATGGCTAAAAAGCTTTTCTTTAATTTTGCTATTACTTGGAATGAAAAGAAAAAATTAAAAACCCTCGTTTTTTACTATTTTATCTGAGCCTATAAGAAAAATTTTAAAAGTGCCTTTCGTAAATCTCGGTAACTTATATGCGTGCTGAAAATTTGATCGAAATCGATTAACGATTTTAAAAACTGCAGATTTCTTACAGTTTTTTGGTCAAAATTGCGATAAAACCGTGATTTTTGCGATCTTTAATTTGTTGTAACTCGTAACAACGTGAACCGATTTCGAGACAATTTTCAACACGCATATAATTCGTTATAGGCTCAGATAAAAATGTTAAAAAACGAGAGATTTTCATTTTTTGTCATTCGAAGTAATAGCAAAATTAAGAAAACAGCATTTCAGTCATCGTCTAATAGACTAATCCCTCTAAAAATCAAGTCATTTAGTAAGAGTCTTAAATCACCATCACTTATGTATGGACTCATTTGTCTAGTGAAAACAATTGTTGATTTAATTTTAGACATCCTTAAGTTTAAAGCTAGTATACATATAAAAAGCCTGAAGAAAAAAGATGTATAATATTTATCAACTTTTCCTCTTCACGTAAAGAACGTTCATTCGCTGGACAGATGTTCACAACGTGGCGTCCGATGTAATTAATCAAACACACGTATCTTGTAAAATTGTACAACAACGTTTTCCCACTGTTCTGAAAATAGTGGTCTCGCACCGTTTAGAATGTGAACGATCCAATGACGTTGCAGGGTGGCCGCGACGCTGAGGTGTTCGTCCAGGATGGCAGGAACGAGCCGAGAGTCTCGGCCAGGACCTAACCAGTCTACGCTCGTGAATCGTCGCGGCAGAAGCTGGTCTTCGCGCGATTAAGAGTAGCGTTCGAAGGAGGCCGGAAAGGGAGAGGGTGGTTCTTGGCATCGCGGGGATCGAGATGAGCGATCTACAGGCCACTCTCGAGTTCTCCCTCGAGCTTTGCAAGTTCTACAATGTCGACCTGTTCCAGCGTGGGTAAGCGGATCCGGCTTTGCCACGCTTTGCTAGATGCAGCCCGGGGGAGAGGCCAGCTACGGGCTCTAGGCCTCGGCTCTTCTCTCTCCGCTCGGCTTGGCTCGGCTCGGCTTCGTAATTGCGAGGGCTTAGCCGGGGCTCATCGACGATTTCCAATTTCGCAGGTATTACCAGATTCGAACCGCCCTACGAGTGTCGCCGAAACTCCCTGTTAAGGTGGAGGTTAACCAGCTGCGGAACCGTGAGTACATTCTTACTCTCCCGTCAATTTGTGAACGTTCTTAACTGACTCTAACAATTGCAATCCGCTGCATTCGCTGCATCCTTCTTTCGTTTCCAGCATTCACCGTTTTTTTTTTTTTTTTGGTATTTTCTCGCAGAAGACGTATTTGCAGAACGTGTTAAGCAATAAATTTATGTGCATACTACGATTTTAATAGTTCGATTGGATACGTCTTCAATTAATTTCGTTCCTAGATTTTGATGACGGAAGAATTAAATCTTGTTTCGCTTTAAGAGAAGTGCATTGCGTTAATATTTAATAGCAGATTTCATGTTATGGTGTATATTATGGTTTCGTTCGTCACTGAAATTTTTATGTACGACATATTTCCAGAAACGTTGTTAGTCCTTCTAAGTTGATGATCACAATGCAGGCTCCAAATGTGATCTTAGACAATCAGTCGACTCAAAGCATAAAGCTAAAGTGTAGAGTATTATGTAAGGATATTTTGCAGAATCTTTTGTGGTCGATTAAGAAATCATCAATTTTCTGCTTTAAACTCTGTAAACATTGATTTATAATCTAACGATTTTATTTAAAGTATCTATTTAACCCTAGACCTATCAAACCAGTCAAAATAACTGGTTTCCGATTTTTTCTCTTCTCATTTCACACACACACACAAATATTACAAAAATACTTCTTCGAGTAATTTCTTACTAAATTTCTATACTTAAGATTATATTACGTACGGAAATCGTACGAAGTTCAAATAAATCCAATCTCGTAATTGTTATAAAACCACTAAAAAGCTGCTGTTGCTAGAGTTCAGAACAAAAATTGCCCGAAAATCGCGGAAGCTGATTTTGCGCAACTATAGCCGAATTATACATATACAAGAATTAATCAGCGCTCCTATTAATTTAGTCAACGTCAGAAGCGAATGTTCCGGATAATATTTGTCAGAGTACTCGCGGAGTTCCATTTGCTAATTTGATGAATTCTAACGTAGCGAGGGACTGTTTGCTCGGGGAAAAGAGGAACGCTGCCGATGGCAGCGTGTTCCCATGGATCACATCCGGTTCGGTATAACTCTCGCCGCGTGTCCAGCGGATCCTCTGAACTTTCTTGCGCCCTGGAAACGTGGGGGCGGGAGGGAGGGTGGAAAGTTTCTGGTACATTGCACTCGTCTCGCCGGAGAAAACTCCGGCTGAATTCACTTACCGGCTCTCAGTTAGACAACGGCAAACTAGTTCAAACCGAACTGCACTCCGACAGCGATAGCATTAGAAAGTTCGAGGAACGATTCTCCGACTCGCAGACATTTCTGCGCTCCGCGGAACGAGCCGCTCGATGGGCGGTTAAAAAACCGACCGTCCCACTCGCGATACTTCGTTATAACCGGACTACGGACTTTTATGGTAATTCGCGCGTCCGCCGGCTTCTGGTGCTCCCGCGCGGTCGGGAATTTCGTTGGGACGGCAATGAACGGGGAAACTTGCCTCGGGAACGTTTGCACCGGAGATCCTACCGTACCGCTTCACACGGTTCCCATTTACATATTTAGTCGACCAATTGTGTTTGCTTTGCGACGCGACGTTTTACGGAGTCGCGTCTTGCGACGCGTGTTGACAGATAATGGATTTTTTCTCTGCATTTGACACTGTTGCTGCACCATTTTCGTTTGCACTTTTTTCCGCGTACATCACGCTGTGTACCGTGGGTGCATTCCCTCATTCATTTTATTCTTCAGGAATCGTGGAACAGCTTTTGTTCGCGCCATTTCTGCATCCTGCAAGTATAGTGTTTGCAGTGAATTCTCCGTAATTCGCGCTCAGATTGCGCACAAAAATTGAAAATTTGGGAAGAGGAGATACAGTTATTATTTACAGTTATATTTTAGATACAATTATTTTTTTAGATACAGTTATATTTTTATAGTTACCGATCGTCAACAACTATAAAAACTATAAAAATCTNCCAATCTCGTAATTGTTATAAAACCACTAAAAAGCTGCTGTTGCTAGAGTTCAGAACAAAAATTGCCCGAAAATCGCGGAAGCTGATTTTGCGCAACTATAGCCGAATTATACATATACAAGAATTAATCAGCGCTCCTATTAATTTAGTCAACGTCAGAAGCGAATGTTCCGGATAATATTTGTCAGAGTACTCGCGGAGTTCCATTTGCTAATTTGATGAATTCTAACGTAGCGAGGGACTGTTTGCTCGGGGAAAAGAGGAACGCTGCCGATGGCAGCGTGTTCCCATGGATCACATCCGGTTCGGTATAACTCTCGCCGCGTGTCCAGCGGATCCTCTGAACTTTCTTGCGCCCTGGAAACGTGGGGGCGGGAGGGAGGGTGGAAAGTTTCTGGTACATTGCACTCGTCTCGCCGGAGAAAACTCCGGCTGAATTCACTTACCGGCTCTCAGTTAGACAACGGCAAACTAGTTCAAACCGAACTGCACTCCGACAGCGATAGCATTAGAAAGTTCGAGGAACGATTCTCCGACTCGCAGACATTTCTGCGCTCCGCGGAACGAGCCGCTCGATGGGCGGTTAAAAAACCGACCGTCCCACTCGCGATACTTCGTTATAACCGGACTACGGACTTTTATGGTAATTCGCGCGTCCGCCGGCTTCTGGTGCTCCCGCGCGGTCGGGAATTTCGTTGGGACGGCAATGAACGGGGAAACTTGCCTCGGGAACGTTTGCACCGGAGATCCTACCGTACCGCTTCACACGGTTCCCATTTACATATTTAGTCGACCAATTGTGTTTGCTTTGCGACGCGACGTTTTACGGAGTCGCGTCTTGCGACGCGTGTTGACAGATAATGGATTTTTTCTCTGCATTTGACACTGTTGCTGCACCATTTTCGTTTGCACTTTTTTCCGCGTACATCACGCTGTGTACCGTGGGTGCATTCCCTCATTCATTTTATTCTTCAGGAATCGTGGAACAGCTTTTGTTCGCGCCATTTCTGCATCCTGCAAGTATAGTGTTTGCAGTGAATTCTCCGTAATTCGCGCTCAGATTGCGCACAAAAATTGAAAATTTGGGAAGAGGAGATACAGTTATTATTTACAGTTATATTTTAGATACAATTATTTTTTTAGATACAGTTATATTTTTATAGTTACCGATCGTCAACAACTATAAAAACTATAAAAATCTCCTCTTCCCAAATTGTCCATTTTTATACGCAATCTGAGCGCGAATTAGGGAGAAATTACTGTAATTGATACGGTTCCGTGCATTTCTTCATTTATTTTATTTTCCAAGAATCGTGGAACAAGTAATTTCGAGCTGTCCGATTGTTAGAATATTAACCCTTTAAGTGACTTAGTTCTCGACGGTCGCAGGCTCGTCTAACACACGCATGTTGTACAATAGCATTCGTTAAAAATTCAATCGCGTCCAAATGAAACATTCCGTGCGGCATTTTATTTTCTCTGTGATAGCCGCGTTATTTATACCTGTTGAAGACAATAGAAGACAATAGAAAAGATTACCTACGTTGATAGAAAAGATTGTCTATAGAAGACAATAGAAAACCATTCGATAAGTCAAAAAAAAAAATGAAGAGTTGCTCTAACGATCGTCGTTGCTTGTAAACTGTTCTCACCGCGGACGGACCAGGGGTTGATAAGAAACATCATCTGCTAGTCGCAAGAAGTCCTTTATCGTCTGCCGTCGTCTCCGACGATCATTTTTAGGGCAGCAAAGTAAATCGGGAACGAATAGTCAGCCATTTAGCCGGGCCGGCGGCTCCCAAAATTGAGTCTGGTCCAATAGCAGTCGGCCTTTGACAAATTAGTCAATAAAAGCTGGAAACCTCCCGAATGCCCGCGGTATATCACGCATTCTGCACGGCGGGATCCACGCTTGCCGCGCAATAATCTAACAAATGGGGAGATTCCGTTCGGAAGGCAAGAATGATGGGCGCAATGTAGACGAGCCGGCCGAGGACTCAGACCTGTCTCATTCCGGAGATGCATCAGACGCTTACGCCCTGGTGTATCAAGCGGTCATCCAGACGAGCATCCACTCAAATCAGACACAACCACATACCGTCTCCGTCACCCCGCCCCCGGTCCACCCTTTCTCGGCCCACCTATCCGTTATCTTGTCGTCAGGACGTCGCCGAAATTCAGAAGACGCGACCGGCGTCCATTGTTCCAGACTCGTTGGAGGCGCCCGGGACGAGCAAACGCTTTCAGATCCACTACAGAAACGAGGAGGTGACACTCGGCACTTCGGTCCTATTCCGGGCGCACGTGCTCGTGCACAGTCACAAGATCGAGGAGGTGCTCTCCCGCACCCACTTCAATCTCGGCGTCGAGCTATGGTTCAGCGAGCCGACACAGCCCGGGAACATGGCCTGCGTGTCGTCTAGGTGAGCAAAGTCCCCGGCATACTTCACGGCTGCGAGCCCATCCGCGACGATCGGCTATGCGAGTGATCTCGGGGTCGCGATATTGCGGTCTCAGACGCGGAGATCACTCGCCGGCTGGTTATATGAGGTCCGTGGGATAGCTCCGATGCAGGCCGACATGCCGCCGCGGCGTGTGCGACGCTCGGCGGGGATTTGGATAGGAATGAGAATGCTGGCGCATGTACCACGGTGCTCCGGCTTCTTCGGAGCCTCGACAATTATTACCGGGGAAGATGAAAGCCAGACTTTTCTCTAGCAAGTTGCTCTCGCCGCGCGTCGTACGCCGGGCATACTTTGTTCGATGCCCCTTGATCGGTGAATTAGGATCACGTGGTTCCTCTCTATGGAAAGCAGGACAATGGCTGACGAGATTTTCGTAGTAGCTGCCGTCTGTGTTGGAAACATTTCGTGAGATTTTATAAATTATACCAGCGACTTCGGTGATCTGGATCCGATATTCCTCGGCTTTGTAAAAAGATAGAATTGTTAGAGGAAAATTCGGCCGACTAGTAGCCACAATCGCGTTTGTTTTAACACAACTTGGACTAATGTATCGTTATACTAGGTCGTGGAGTGTAAAAAGAGCTTGGTATAATTTGTTTTAATTTGTTTCCTTATCCTTCAATTTAATTGCGAAATTTAAAGGATTTAAAGTAACTAAAATCTAAGATAATACGAAGTAATTAAATAAAGTGATTGAAATCAAAATTTAATTTAAATTTAATTTAATTTACAATTACGCCGATGCAATTAAAATCTTGAAAAAGTATCGCACAATTTTAACGTAACGAACAGAACTCAATTGGTCACATTTATCACCGAAATCATTCGTTATCGACACCGGTCATTCTTTCGATACCAATTAGGAGGCTTCTCAAAGGAACTTAATAAATTCGAGTAATTTTGGACATCGAATACCACATTGCCGGATGATTCGGTAAGTTCAAGTTTGTGCAGTAACGTTCCCAAGGGGCTCTACGAAATAATTGTTGAGAAAGTTCTGGCCGCTAAGGAGGGCAGTGAGTCCGGCGAAGTTCTTTGAAGGCGTCGGAACTTGCCCGCAGACCTAATAGATAAAGCGAATCGATAACCTTGGCCGCGCGCGTGCGGCTCCGCGGCGTTCCGTGCTTGAAGGTGTTTGACGAGGGCACCGTCTGTTTTTCTTCGCTTTGCAGGGCGTTGCAGCTGAACTTTGCGCCCACGAAGGGGCTTCACTATCATCTGCCTGTGATCTTCGATTACTTCCATCTCGCGGCGGTGTCCATCACGATCCACGCGTGCCTCGTTGCTCTTCACCAGCCGTACATCAAGTCGGTATCAACTCGTTATTTTAAGTAACTATTAACATACTATTACTGGCGAGGGTGATCACTGTCTGTTCTCTGAAATTTTCGTTTCATCGTTTCCGTACAGGAAGAGCATACTTCACTACGTGCAGAGCTGGTGAGTGTGCATTCCAAAACAGACTCGTTTACAGTATAAACGGGGATCGCGAATTTTTAAATTGACCCTCGACCGGTCACGCGACATTTCCGACTCTACAGAAGCTGGTAGACGAAGAAATAATTCGTTCGGGTTTCTGTTGCGAACGCGACGCACGGTGATCCTTTCTCCAAAAAGTCGGCCAACAATTCGTAACTTTATACGATTTTCATGCAAATCGGTACTCCGATTTCTTCGAGGTTGCTGAAAAAATTGGAATATTTTATAAAATTTGGAAACCTCGAAATGGAAAATAAGCATAACCTTGACATAAGCATTGTTCTTAATTTATTATTTTTTTTTAATATCAATAATCTTCTGATATTCGGCTATAATTATGCAATTGGAATATGTAAAATTTAATGTAACCTTAGTGCTTCGTTTATCACGCTGGAAACCTAGAAACTTTCATGAAATTAAATTAATATATTTCATCGAATTGAAATTGGAAAGTCAAGTCGTATAACATCAATTACATTTTCGACATTAATATGCTTTACGGATCCTAGTCAAATTAGGATTCAACAATGATTTAAGACGCGTAAAATAATTCAATGATTGTTATTTTCAGTTTCCTAAACAATTTTGAACACGGTCGTTTCGTTGAGGAGAAATATTACTTACAAATTATAAATGATCTCCAATCACTTAAACGATCTCGCACGTAATACCAACGTTTGTCGGTTACACGTATCATACAGTAACAAATCGGGCTACACAACTATTTTCCATTTACAAAGACATCGTTTGTTCTCAATTTCGTTCGATTCTTTAATGGTTATCGACCACCACCGTGCGACGTGGCTTAGAAAACCGTGTTCGCCGATGGAACGGTTTCGCAGACGTCGTGTGACCGATTATGGGATAATTCTGGCGAATTTCGAGAGCAACGAGCCGAGATGAATAATCCAGCAAAAGATCGGCGGGGGTGGTAAAATGATTACAGAGTGCGCCCGGGGAAGGTTTGATTCACCTGTTCCCGCATTCGGTATTCGCGCGAAAGAAAACGGCCGTGAAATGCATTTCGCCGAAAGTGCTGTTCAATTATTTCGTCAGTTTAATATTCTGTCACGCACGTCGGGCGTGCGCGCGCGCGCGCGATGCCATCGAAACGGTGTCGTATCTCAATTAAAATCACGAGGAGGTAATCAACCGAGTGATATTCTCGCAGCGCGCCGCGCGGAGGGAAGCCATGGCTGCAATTCAAACAGTCCGCAGCGAACGGCGATAATAACGCCTCGTTAGGAAATATCGTGAGTTTCGAATCTAGTTTGCCCGATATGTTAATCGGATCGGAACAATTAATCCGTCGGCGTGCGATCGATCACAGAGAAAAACCGTTGCTCCGCAGGAGGCGACGACCAAGTGTGTCGGCTCGGCGACGAGGATACAGCACGCGAAACTGGTCCAGCAGGAAGTGATCAGGTTGCTCCTGGCCGCCAGGGAATCTCTGCTCAGCGATCTGGCTGATCTGGCACGGCTGCTGCCGTCCTGCCAGCAGAGATCGCTCGAGCTCGCTCAGAACACGCACAAAGAAATCACCAAGGTCGTTCGATATTGTTATATAACCGCCCCCCCCCCCGCGACCCGCTCCGACTCCCACGCCTTCTTCCCTTATATTCCGGAAGTACTCGCCGATGATCTTGGTCGGCATGCAGACGTCCGCTCTGTGATTACAGATGATGGACACGGAGGAGACTGATATCGCTCAACTCTGCGCACAAAACATTGTTCTCTGGCAGCATTTTTTGGAGGCGTTCTCGGGACGCGAGGCCGTTCATCAGCATCTCGCGAGGATCCATCATCAGCTGAGGGTGAGATCGCGATTCGTCGTCGTTCCGATCGTCGTTCGTTGTTCCCTGGTCATCCCGCGAACGTTCAGTTCGCATTCAATTTATTCGTTTGACCCCGCGACGATTCCCGGTTTCGCCGTGCAACTTGGCCGGGAGAAGTTTTTAACAGGATGAGAAACGAGAATGCTCGCTTTTCTTCGGCTGGCGCGCGAACATCGATTCTAACTCGATTATTTTTTTAATCCGATAATCTCTATAGTTAAAGAATATTGATTTTCAGGTGAAGCGGTTCGCCGAAGGTTTCTTCGTGCTCGAAAACCCGAGAACGTCGGCGTGGGGATGCTACGACGCGAACTACCAATCGTATCAGGCCGTCAGCGAGGCCGCGAGAAGATCGCGGTATCTAGCGTCGCTACCACCTCTGCCTGTCTACTGCCCGGAGCTGGACGGGGACCTGCACTCGCTGCCTCTGATATTCGAGGATCAGTACGTGGACATGAAGCAGAGGCACAGAAACAGCGGTGAGCGCGTCGCTGTAATCCTTTTACATCGTGGCTTCCAGGCAAAGTCAAGCTCATCGTTCGCCAGAAAAGATATCGATACGAAAAATTAAAGACGATTTCTCTATGGTCCAACGGACTCCCGACCGCCTAATTAACTAATCAGTGAACGACGTTCGCTTCCAGTTCCGGGGATGGACGACTGCAGCTGCGGCATCGCGGCGATCCTGGAGTCGCGATCTATGGGGATCTGGTCGCCAAGGAGCGAGGGCGCGAACCAGGACCTCGGGATGGTCCAGGGCCGTCTGACCTTGACTCCTTCCACTCTCCCGGCGAGGCACAGCAAGTCCCTGGACCAACTTGGCCCCGAGATCGCGCCGGTGCAGCCGAGGACCTCGCCGAAGACTCTTCCACGCTCGGTGTCGACGCAGCTGTTCCCGAGGCAAAGGGGTTGCGGGAAGAACGTGACCCCGCCGGCCACGGTGCCCTCTCGAGGGAGGCAACGGTCGACACAGCCGTCCAGTAGCACGCTCTTTCCTCCGTCGGGGCAGCAAGCCTGCTCGGCGCCGAATCCATCCCTCGGCTCGACGCCTGTGGTCACTCTGCCGCGCGCCAAGTCCACGCAGATCTTGGTGCTGAACTTGCAGCAGCAGGCCGACCCGCAGAACACCTCCATAACGTCGCTGCTCGCGGCCATGTTCCCCGAGCTGCCTCCCGGCGGCCAGCTTCCCGGGTACAGACCGTCGAAACAGTCCTGCGAACAGCAAGGCCCGACCCTGACCGTGCCCAGCTGCGTGGGAACCATGGACCATGGACAGATAACGGACTGCTGGACCGAAAACAAGCCCGAAGGTATCGGATCGCGTTTCGATGCACGGTCGCGGCCAGCCGGAGGCTCTCCGGAGATCGTGCTACAAGAAACTAACACGGGCTATCGAATTTCAGATTATCACTCGCTGGACAGGAGGATCCGCCTGGAGCCGCGCAGCCATCGTCTGGCGTCCCGGCAGCCGTTGTCGACGGTGAACGACCAGAACAGCTTCCTGCCTGGGAAGAACATGAACGGGGACGGCTTCCTGCAGGACCAGCAGCCGCTGCACACCGCGACCTTGGACCGGGTGACGTACCGGGGGAACTCGCGGAAGCAGTCGCATCAGGCTGGCAAGTATAGTCAGACGAACGGGCTGGAGTCCCGCAGGTATCACACGATCGGGAAAACCGGTTCGGGCCAGAGCCAGCGGAACCGCGAAGTCCAGGAGTCGATGAACGGCGGCGGAATGCCGGGAAGCCATTCGACGGCGGCGGTTCGTTTGTACCCGCGATCGAATAACGCCTCGACGACCACGGACGCGTTCTTCTACCGCACGAACGGGACCAGCGGCCGGACGCACGGCGAGCCCGAGAGGCCCAGGCGACCCAAGAGCACCGAGAGGCTGGTCGACGAGGTCGATCGCAGCGAGTACTGCGACTTCCGGCGCGAGAGGCCCAGGAGGAGGGAGGAGAGACCGGCCGCGAAGTCCCCGAGGAACGGCGCGCCGCCGGGTTACAGCGACGAGCCGCACAGGAGGTCGCAGGCCGACGACAAGAACGAGGGAGCCAACGAAGTGTTCTACAAGGTGGTGCCGCCGATGCCCGAGCAGAAGAAGGAGCACCGGGAGAGGAGGAAGGAGAGGCACGGGAAGCGGCCGCATTCCGCGCCCGTCCTCGACATCGATCACCCGGCCGATGACAACAGGAAGTGGCACAGGAACAGGAAGCCGGCTCCGCCGCCTCCCGCGTATCAAGATCCGGCGGTGGCGCCCTTGCCCAAGTACCGACACCCACCGCCCGCGCTGACGACCAGCGTCATGGAGGTCGAGAATAACAATAAAATTATTCTGAAGGTACCAAGCGAGCGCTAGATTCTAGAGAGAGAGAGAGAGAGAGCTGGGAACGATCGTTTAGCGAGCAATTTGTTGTAGCACCCATCGGTCACTACCGACCACCTTTGTTTCCAGGTGGATCCGATCAAGTCGCCGACGGAGGCGGCGGCCACGAACGGCACGACCCCTTCGGACACGTCTAGCACCGGTGCGCCGCTGCCGGACACGAAAAGACTGAGATGCGCCAGCGTGCCGGTGGCGCAGAACAAGGTGGTGGTCCCGCGCAGCGCGGTCTCGTTGCCTTGCATGCCGATACGCGACAGCAAGGACAGCCTTAGCAACAATCTTCCCGTCATTCCGAATCCGCTCAGCCCACCGTCCAGCCGACCGAGCAGCCCGACCACGAGCTCCAGCTCCAGCAACCTTACGTCCGAGTGTTCCGGCTGGGTCAGTAGCGGGGACACGTCGAGCTCGGAGCAGCGCCGGAACGCGAAGCTGTCCAGCGAGCAGCTGCGTCAGAAGCTGTCGAAGATAGTGCCGCGAAAGGAGCGGCCGCTGGCCAAGGAGGCGGTCGAGGAGCATTCCTACGAGGAGGTGCGACTTCCGCCGCCGAAGATGTTCCAGGACGAGCCGCCGCCGCCCGAAGAGTTCAGAGACCCTCCGGCGATCATCGACAACCCGCTCTACCACGTGTACGAGACGGTGAAGCCGATCAGAAGCCCGAAACAGACGAAGACGGCGCCGTGCAGCCCGCAGAAGAGCAGGGAAAGGGAGCGGGACAGGGAGCCGGTTTACGGCGCCAGGGACATCTGTCTGGATTGCTACCAGGAGGGCAAGGAACTGCTGCAGTCGACCCAGGACGACTCGATCAACTTCAAGAAGTGCAAAGAGGAGTTCAAGCGGCAGATGAGCTTCTCCGGGAAGATCTACAGGTACGGCTTCGTGCGCGCATACCGCCCCCCTGCAGTCACTTAGCTACTTCGTTTCACGCCGGTGATCCTCTAAAGTAGCTGCATCGGAGACCCTCCCGTAGTTTCTGCCCGTTTTTTCACCTTGGTTTTGCTCGGAACGAGTGCATCGAATCGCTACACCTTGGCCGAGGAGTTACAGACTGTATTTAACAGGCGTTTACGGTATCCGAAAGAGAGAGAGAGAGAGAAAGAGAGTGAGAGTGAGCGAACCTTTCACCATGGAACCTCGAGAGGGTCGAGCGCCCAAGACTCCGCCTCGAGCGACGCGGCGCGGAGAGATCCGCTAGGTGTGGTCCACGTTTGTTAATTTTGCGTTGTTACGTTTGATTTACGCGAGACTATGCTTGCGACCCGTTGCTTCTTTCGTTTGGCAGCTGTTCTTCTCGGATCTGTCTTTATGTTTTGTAGTTACGTTTCTCTTTGTCTACCTTATCCTGTCTAGAGAGCGAAAGGAAGCGCAGTTGCGTTTCCATAAACGTGCCCATTCCCTTGGATACGGTGACTTCCTGACCCCGTCGTCGGTAAAACCTCTAAGCTCGAATGTGCCTCTTAGTGACTATCCGACCCTGGCCTCGACCATGCCGTACTTCCACATCAGCAACGAGTACCGGCTGTTCTCGCCGGAGGGTGCTCACTTGATCATCTGCGTCCACGGCCTCGACGGGAACCCCGGCGATCTGCGTCTCGTCAAGACCTTCTTGGAGCTCAGTCTTCCCGGGGCGCATCTAGATTTTTTAATGTCCGAGAAGAATCAGGTGAGAGGTCGTTTAGAAGCGCTCCGGGCCCCGGTCGGTTACCGGAAGCGCCGATCAAGCTCGAGCGTGTACGACTTTTGTCCGATGATTGTCGAGCAGGGTGACACTTTCTCGGACTTCGACACCATGACGGACCGGCTGGTGGGCGAGATTCTACACCACATCGAGACGTCGGGCCTGAACCCGACGAAGGTCAGCTTCATCGGACACTCTTTAGGGACCATCATTATACGGAGCGCTCTGACGCGGCCTAAACTGCGACCGCTTCTACCGCGCTTGCACACGTTTCTCAGTCTAAGCGGTCCACACTTGGGCACCCTGTACAACCCCAGCGGATTGGTTAACGCGGGTACCGTTTCGTTAATTACTCGGAACGATCATTTCCTCGGCGAGAGGCTCGCTCCGGTTATTGATTCGAGACTCTCTGCCCTCCAGGTATGTGGTTCATGCAGAAACTGAAGAAATCCGGCTCGCTGCTGCAGCTGGCTATGAAAGACGCGTCCGATATCAGACGGTCCTTCATGTTCCGCCTCAGCGAGAAGAGCAATCTCGAGAAGTTCAAACACGTTCTTCTTTGCGGCAGCGCGCAGGATCGATACGTGCCGCTTCATTCGGCGCGCATAGAGCTCTGCAAGGCTGCCGTGCGGGACTCGTCCGATCAAGGTAATTCACCATACTTTTTATTGTGAAACCTTCGAACTAACGGGGTTCAGGCTAAATCAAACGAGCCATTGTTTCCGGACATCTGTCGTTAATTTTTTTACACTTTTGCTCTTATTTTAATTGATTCGTGGGTCATAATGTTCTACAATTTCGGCCTCCTTCGGTCTCTTCATCGTCGTAGAAATTAATTATAACTTTTGTTTAAACTTTTTTACGGTGTTCATGAAAACTTATGCCAGTGATCGAGTCATTTCATGTGAATAAAAAAGTACATTCGTATCTTTGGACAAATAATGCAATGTTTTCATGCTTATTATATGAAAGTATACAATAATTGATATGAAAATACAAGACAAAGTAAAAGCTTATTTGTAGAACTCAATCAATTTGACTTAAATAAGATTGTAATTATAAAAGTTAGACTTATATTTTAATAATTTAATTTATTTTTATATTTTAATCATTTTAATTTTAATAATTAGACTTATATAATACACGATCTGGGTCATAGAGATCCCAAACACCATGAAAGGGTTAATATATAAGTGTAAATTGCAAATACGTATTTGAATCTCTTTTCTCAGGGAAATTTAAATACTTTGAAGATACAGAAAAATGTTCAGAAGACTCTCCTGCATCCACATTACAGGAAAATGTTTTTTTATCGTTATAAATAAAGAGAACAGATGATTCTTACCATTTTCGCTGTAAGGTGCAACGTAAAATTCGGCACGATTCATCTGCTTCTGAAAATGTAAAACTAGCACCAGTACACACTGTGACAAAACGCTCAAACTGTTCGCCGAAAGTATTTACAGCTGATAATTCTAAGAGTTTGGTGTTTCGACACAGGCGGCGCCACTACACAAAACCCATAAATATTTAAATTTAGCGCCATTACACGTATCAGCAAAATGCTCAAACTCGTAGATAAATTACCGACTGCTAATTCTTCCTGGAAACACTAGATGTTATCACTGTGCATTTCCCAGAACATGTCTACTGTGTCGGCAAATTAGTCTAACAGTTTGTGCGTTTTGCCGCTATTTTGATATTTTCAAGAGCAGATAATTCGTGCCGGATTTTACGTTGTATCTTATTACGAAATCGGCAAGAATCATTCGTACTGAATATAATAGAATAATAAATGAGAAAAAAGATGTAGAGAGAGAGAGGAGTAGGGAAGAGTCTCCACAATGTGTTTCCTATTGCAGAAAATGCCGAAAAAAATGGAAATAATGATTTTTTAGAATGCAAAAATCAAAATTCTATTTTATCCACATTTCACAGTTGCGTGTACACTCTTCACATACAAATATTATATATTTATATATAATATATATATATATATATATATTTTTACATCTTAATTTGTTTAAGAAATATTTTAAAAATATAATATATATATTATAATAACATTAATATTAATAATAATAATAAATATATATATAAAAAATATAATACATATATTATAATATATATATATATTATATTTTTAAAATATTTCTTAAACAAATTAAGATATTGAAAATCAGGTTCCACAAATGGATGTCTCGCCGAGCTCGAGGCACTGCGATTGAAGCGCGAGTCGGGGTCGTGTAAATTTAACCGTGCATCACTCTGTTGCCCGAGGAATGTGAAAATAAGAAGAAAATTTGCGTTGCAGGTGCAGCGTACCGCGACATGGTGCACAACATCCTATACCCGGTGATGTCGACGACGGGCGTCAGTTTGGTGAGGTACGACGTGCACCACGCGTTGCCAGCGACGGCGAACGCGTTGATCGGCCGTGCCGCGCACATCGCCGTCCTCGACTCCGAACTTTTCATCGAGAAGTTCCTGCTGGTGGCGGGTCTGAAGTACTTCAGATAAGGAACGGACTGCTCTAGCGACTAAATGGAAGATAAAAAAAAGAAAAGAAAGATGGGAAACGCAAAAATTAGCAATTTAAAGGAGAAGAGAAATAAGTAATAGCGAATCTAGCCAGCGGGAACGATACTCTCGGGCATAACGGAGCGGATATCCTCGTAACTCTCCGTGACGTCTCTGACGCCGCATTAGGATTAATTAACCCACGGACGTACGGTCGGAATTGCCTCGTTTCTTGCCCGCGCACAGAGAGACCCGGGTCGGTCATTCTCACTCCCAGCCCTTCTATATCGTAATTGTCTGTCTTCTAGAACCGATCGCGAACCGGGATTCGTCGAGGAAACGGGGCAATTCGACGTTTTTACACGGGACGCGGACACATCGTTATTATATAGTAAACACGTCGATCAGTTTCTCTCGTTAGGTTCCTACGCGTCGTTCTGTCGCGGTGCCGCAACGGCTTCGTCGACGCATCATCGAATCATTGAACGGGCTTACGACTGCACGGGCCTACTCGCAGCTCGCGTTCGGAGCTGAATAGCGTTTGAATGGGGGAAAGCGCGGGGGTTGAAGACCGTTCAGGGTAGTTCGATGCGATCTGGTCTCTTAGTAATTGAATTTTTATACATTATTAGATATTAATTTTCCTGCGGAATTGAAATTGGTGTCTCGCTTTCTGTACTTCAAACTCTTATCGATTCTTACAAAATCTAGCAAAAAGAAATTAAAGTGGCGAGCATAATTATGCATCGATTTGTCGCAAGATGGTACACGATTTAAATCTCTTATTTTTTGAAGGATATCTTCTATTCAAAGCATTTAAATCTCGTCGATAGACAAAAGCGATACGAATGATTCATTAGAACTGGAAAAATGCATTTATTGAGACTTCAATCGACTTCGATTCCAGTGTATACTTCCTTAGGCTTTAATGATTACAAAATCAAAAATCTGAAACGTGGTTCTAGAATGAAAGACAAAATTAGAGACAGTGCTTCGGCAAACGTAACTCGCATTTCTCTTGAAAGAAGCGTACAATCTCATTAAGTTCAGTTCAATCGATGATCGTGAAACTGCTCTGAACGGTTACCATGATCGAATCAAGTATCGAATTCTCGGCCTATCGCGAAACCCGTGGCCGTCGAGTAAAATCACGCGCACGATCGAGTCGGAAGATCCATAATAAATCGGGCCCGGCCGTTTTATCATCGCCGCCGGTCACGTGATCACCTTCAACCGGGAACGGAACGCGACGAATCGTGCTCGTCGATCGAAGAGGCAAGCTCGCGTACGTTGGTTTTCGTCTCCTTCTTTGTTTTCTTGTCTCTTTGTTTGTTGTTCAACGAAAAGAGAAACGTTCTTTTCGATCTCGAGCGACGGAGCGACGACGTGTCGCTGCTCGCCGTGGCTCCCAGCCTGGTGTCGAAAGCGAAAGCGAAAATTCACGAAAAGCTAAAAAAAATAAAGAAAGAAAGAAAGAAAGAAAGAAAGAAAGAAAGGAAGAAAAGTAAACGGGGAATAACAAATCGAGATATACATACAATATAAAATAAGACGATGCTGGGACACATTGTCTAGACGCTAGGAAAGTTACGAAACGTATGTCAATTGTTACTCTCAGATAAGTGTGAGTGCGTGCGGTGTGAGGTGGATGGATGAGAACGCGTTAACGTTGCGATAGAGCGAGAAAGAGGAAGAGCAAAAGGGGAGAGAGTGAGAGCGAGAATGAGAGCGAGAGTATTCTAATTAAACAGAACGGCGAGAGGCGAACGAAATGAGCGAAAGCCAGTATGAGGAACAGCGAAACGACGAAGGACAGAATCGGCGCGCAACGGATGATCGTCCGACGATCGGGAGGACGAGGACAGGGTCCTTGCTGCTTCGGTTTCGGCGATGGAAGATCAGCGAAACGGACGAACGGGAGCAACGAGGAAGAGGAGAGGAGGATGAACAAGGGAAAAACAAATCACGAGGACGCGAGAAGAAAAAGAAAAACAAAGTGACTACCATTTCAGGTATATGAAATCCCTCCAATACTAGATCTCAATTGCTCAGAACAATCTAAATAAAAGAAAGAAACAAAAAAAGACAAAAAAATATGAAGTTATACATTATTCGTCATCGAAGCAACGATGGCGCGTGGCGTCGCGTCTGCGAATTGCTAATCGTGAATATCATCGAAAGAGTGGCAGAGGGAGAGGACGTGTGTAATTAAGAGTTTTTCGCTATAACTAACAATGGTCGGCAGGAATAAACGTCAGCGGAGAGACTCGCCGTACGACGGGCGTTCGTCGTCCCCCGCGTGCCGCGGCAAGTTCAAGCTTTCTCGTTCAAAAACGACGCTGTTGCGCGTCACTTGGCGCTCGAGTTTTCACATTCGGGATCATTTCGCAATCGAACGTCTGCCAAATTAGATGGATCAAGAAATCGTTTTGTGCCAAATTGTCGGATTTCAGAAGTCGTCGCATTTATTAGTCGTTCTAGAATCTCATCCGAAAAATGCCAAAAGTACATTTCGAACTTGTTAGTTACATTTTAGACTGCGGGTCTTCGCGCGCGACCGAACTTCCCTGCGCCTGTCGCAAGAGGAATCCCTTCGTTCAATCATTTTGGTAGGTTTATACTGTTCCAAATCACCGGCTCTCGCCGCGGGCGCACAAAATCCGCAGTTCTTCATCGAGCAAACCGAATTCCTGCATCGATACAGCGTGGCGCAGCGTGTTCCGCGCGTAAAGTAAATTCTCGCGCCAAGTGCATCCAGCCGCCATTTCGCCGCGGGAGGACCGAATGGCGGCCGCCTCGTACGGCGATTCTCCAAATATTGTTAAGTGTAAACCCACACCGCCCACTGTAAACGTTCACCCACGAAATTGTATACAACGCCCGTACGTGTACGCCTTTACATCGTAACAGAGGACACCGTGTGTGACGTGTTCTGTCGCGAGCACGCCATTTAACAGGACCAGAATCGGTGCTCGTAGAAAAACGATCGTATGCCCGCCCCCCTCGAAGCTGCGAAGCACAAAAATTAAGTCCCCGAAACTTCTCTCTCGTTCGACCGAAAAATGTAAAAGATCGCATCGTTCCGTTTGATTTCCGCTTTCCAGCGCCTCCGTCGCGACGAACCTGGGCCGTGTCGATGTCACGGGAAAAGAGGGTCAGTGAAACGAGCCCGAGAATCCCGCGAGGACGCTGACCCCCTTCGATCGACCCCTTTCAGAGATTTCCTTTCGGATACGTCTGCGCTCCTAGCACGCAATAACTGTGGCAATATTGTTGTATCGTTGTCTGATTTGTGCGACTGTTACCGGAAGAAATAAAAACGGCTACCGAGATGTAGGCGAGGAACGAATAGGAGGGTCTTTGAATTAGAAGTAGCATAAGAGAGCGTTATGGAGGTAACCGTCTCGGATCACGGGACGGGCCAGGACAGACAAGGGATCAGCCTGCTCCGAAGTTTTTCTAAGAGCAAGAATCGCTAACAGGTAATCCGCAAATCGGGAAGACACCGTTCTAGGTTCTTCGACCGCAACCACGGTGCGAGGAGGAGTGGGTGGACCGTCTCTGCGCCGTAGATTCTGCGGCACCCACGAATTTTCTGTGTTCACTTCCACGAGTTTCCGCGAGAGGTGCTGAGCGAATCATCGTCGCGATCGTCGCTTACCGATGACCATTTTATTTGTATATGTGCACCGATACTGCGGCGGGTATCTCGCACACGATAGAAACTCTCACCGATAGTACGAAGGCTTAACCCTTTGCACTGGAGACTATTTTAACTTCAAAATGAAGATATTAGTTTCAAGCTACAATATTTCCATTTGTTACGAATGCTTTTTGTTTGATACATGTGAGATTGAACGTGTATAATTATAAAACACTTCTATTATTTATCAATTTATCGGATACAGGCAAATTTAATAATAATAAACATTCTTTTGAAAATAGTGCAGCAATTTTTAGCGTCGCCTCAGAGACGCCACTCGAGTGCAAAGGGTTAAACCTCTAAGGTCACAGGAGCAGGGATAAAATCGGTCCACCGCACCTTCTTGCGCCGCGACGGCAACAGTTCGTGGGCTGATTCTGGAGAGCTAGAAAGTTAATTAGTTAATTAGACAATTATCTCTGTCCTGGCTCGTCCTACACGTTCAGCCAAACCGAAAGTTTTTTACTGTATTGTTCGACCGATCGGCGTGCGAACGATCGGCAGAGCCCCGGCACGAGCCCGGAAACGAAACGAAACGATCGAGCTCGCTTCTCCTTCGATTCTAAGCCGCTCACGTATCTCCGTTGGTTTACAAAACGGTTGCACACTCGCCCGGCACTCCCTTTTTGTAATATGTTTGTAAAATACGTCGCGCGAAGAATATTCCCGAGCGTCTCGACGCGATCGCTCGGCGTCCCCTTCAAACGTTTCCAGTGCACACATATCGAGGGACGCGCCTTTTTTGCGGAAACGTGCTGTCTCGAGGGCGAGGAAACGCGTTTTACCCCCCGCTGTTTGTCGATCGATACGAAGGAGCTCGTCGCGGATCCAGCACAAAAGGGTGGAAAGGACTCCGACGACAATGAGAGAACTCCCGAGGGGAGCCGCGGATCCCGCGCATCTCTCTTCGGGGACACGGTCGAAGGAACTCGTTCATTTCTTTTCTCTCTCTCTCTCTCTCTCTCTCTCTCTCTCTCTCTCTCTCTGATTTATCGTCGGACAGCTATCGTTTGCTCAATTGTTGCGCAAACCGTCGCACGATCGACGTGTTCTATGGCCCGGGAATCGATTTTGTACCACGTAATCTTAAGTTTCTACTAGACCACGCGCGATCAACACGGCGGAGATTATACACCGGTAAGCCTGGTTCACGCTGACGCGGACACTCGCAGGTGACATAGAAGATATTTTTAAGGCACGTCGAAGATTAGGTTCGTTGCATTCGATTCGATTAAACGGTCTGCTGTAATCGGTTTTAGATAGAGTGTGTGTTGTACATTCGCGAAGCTCGCGGTCTACTCGTCGGTGCACAATTCAATTTCCGGATAAGTATTATAGATCGATATAGTGCACAGCGGCTTTGATCGATTAAGGAACTGGCAATTAAAGGGAGCGGCGAAAAATTAGGGAATTACTTGCGACGCTCGTATGCTCCTCAAGGATTGTTCGACGGAGGATCCCCGGTTTGTTTTTACTTTGTACGACATGTATGTTAATTTCGCTTCGTTTATTCCGTTCGTTATGTTTTCAACGAACGCGTTAATTCCGCTATGAAAAAAAGACAGAAATTGAATTTTCAACGGAGGAGCATACGAGGGTTGATCTCGACTGTACATCTTACTTTTTTTTGTGCTTAATTTCAGCTACTTCTTTGCTCGTTTATAAAACCTGTTCATCGATATGTACTAAAACATGGATTTATCTTTGTTCTTGAACTCAAGAAATAAAACTATCGGTAATTGTTAAAGGGTCTTGAAAGTGGCATCAATCAATATCTTCATTGTTCGCAACAAGAGTGAATCCGGCGCGGAATTTTGACAACCGAGAGCTTTCAGTTTTCGGGCATTCTCATCGCGGCGAGAAGCCGCGAACTTGCGTTCCACCTTAATTTCACCGCGATCGTAAGTCTTCGTCTTGGAAGTTTCCCGACGTGGTTTCCACGATAAAGGAAAGTGAGACGAACGAGGGTCGAGAAGCGCGAGGGGGAAAACGAAATTGTCGCGCGACGATGGAAACGACGGTTTTCCAAGCGATCGTTCGCGATTCCCTTCTTCTTTCGGTCGCGAAGTCGACGGAACTGTTTCCAGCCAGACTGCGAACAACAGACGATCTTAGTTACGCGAGATAACGATTGTTGGTCGAGCCGTGCGTTGCCGTGAAAGACGCGGATATTAATAGGGAAGAAAAATGGAGGAGGCTGTTGAGATTTTGGATGAGAACGTTTGTAGTTGCGGAAGCAACGTCGATCAGGAAGTAACAACAATGTATACACTATACATAATATATGGATACATGTGGAAACTGAATAAATCTACGTATACATAAATGAGATAGATTAATACAAAACGAAACGTCTGGTGTTATTTTGCGGCGAAGGCTTACCTCACCTATACGTAGAAAAATCTCTTGCAGTCTTATCGCGCATCGAGCAGCTTCACTTATCATCGCCTTTCATTTATCGTTTACATCTCAGATTTTCGATGCTCAAATTCGGAAAAATGCGAAATAAACGGGAACATAGTATAGCATGTTTAAAAACTTGCATTAAAATCCAGTCTGTCTCTTTGTCCTTAGTTTATTTTTGTAGAATCAAACGGGCGAAGATTTTGCAATCGGTATACTTTTATTCGTTTAAAATAACAGATCAAGTCACATTAGAATCGCTACCAGAAAAAACACGTACGATAGAAAAAAAAAATGGGAAATAACAATTTGGTCCGGTCGACAATTTAAAATCTATCCAATCTCCACGCAGCGGAAATCAAGAGCGCAAAAAGCATCTGGATCGGCAAAAAAAACATTTGAATGCGCTTAAAATCGGTTTTCAATGTAATACGTCAATAGATAAAATTCGGACGAAGAACGCGAATCGTGTTCCCCATTGACCAACCGTATCCTACAAAAAGAAGCAAAAAAAAAGTAATTTAAAAGAAACCTAATATCCCCTATAAAACAGCAATTTGGCTAAAAATGGAAAACCCGATCGCGGTTAAAACCCGCGCACCATTTCACACGACGATTTCTCGCAAAACGTGTTACAAAAATAAATATTTGCATCAGGCTGCAAATCTCTTTTTCCCATGCCTGTAGCTCTCTCTCGTAGCGCCCGATCGAATGGTTTTTTCATTTTTTATGGTCACGCGATCATATCAATCTCTGCCCCCCTCCCTTTTCCTATTACCGCTGCAGTGTAGACGCTGCTCTCAATCTTGTCCGAAACATTTCGGACGAAACGCTACAAACATCGAGTTACTCGCGAGTTTATCTATCGAAATGTAACTTATTTTTTCGGTTTTTTTTTAAATATCGTTTTTTCTGTCGTTAAGTTACTCCGGAAAGTTTCCAACGCTCTCCGCGGTTTCGTCCATGTCGCCGACTTCACCTTGATCATGGTCCTCGAAACTCACTTCTTCCTCTTCTGCGTCCTCCTCCAGGAAAATGGCGGAGTTCGTCTCCGCGGCACCTTCGCCGCCTTGATTCTTCTCCTGGTTCTCGGATGATGCTTGCCCTGAGACATAAATGTTCTTCGTGTCAAGGTTATTTTATGTTTTAGTTTTAGTGTTAACCCTTCGGACTCGAGAGGTGACTCTAAGGCACCACTAAAAATTGTTTCATCGCGTTCCAAAATAATTTTCAAATCACCAATATTATATTTAAAAAGCTTTTAAAAGGATTGTATGTATCACAAGACTCAACTTCATTTGCATAAAATGCGCTAATTATAAATCATAAAAAATGGAGATACTATAGTTCAGAAAAGCTATTTTGGATTTAGAGTTTAAATGTCCCCGAGTGCAAAGGGTAAACGCATTGCGTGCTAGCAATTTTGTAATAGTCATTTTAACACTAACTTAACGGATCGCGTCAAAATGACACGTGCCACATTTTTTAATTTACGATCGTTAAGATTGTAAAGATACATTTATGTGCAAATTATTCAACGAATTTGATCAAAATCGCTGCAAATCGCAATAAATACAAGCTTGTTAGTTTGATGAAGCAATATGAAACAGCTGCTCTTGATTAGTGCTCCGAAATTCAACAGTCGAGAATTCCATTAAAAAAATTGTTCGAAAGTGACATTTGATATTTTATTCAACAAATTATTTGGATTCATATAACATAAAAACTTGTTCTGTAATCCTTATTTGAAAGACAATTAGTGAAATTCTAATTAAAATGTTAACTTGGACGAGTCTATACTTGATCAATGAAATTTTTAACGAAACGTTATTATTGTTCGAATGAATCAAGAATTTCGAAATATGTTTTGCTTCATAGAACTGTGTAAACGGCAAGCTGGCAGAGAAAGTATTCGAAAGATGCTGCTGTTGGAGTACGAACCTTGACCAAGGTTGTGAGCTTTGCTCTGATAGGAGTATTCGCGTGCGTTAGATAGGCCAGCGATAACACATGCACTCAACGCACTTCGATTGAGATTCATGGGCGATGCATCGTACCACTCGTTGCTGTCTGCGTCATAGCATTCTGCGTACGCGATCGTCGTGTCCCCTATGGTATCCACGAAAAGAAAGCTTGGTTTGACTAAAAAATCGACGATCACTTATTTGCTGATCATTATAGAAATTGGAAATTTTCTGTGAACTATTTTAACATCGGTGCTATTGAAATCTTTCTTTTCTTCATTTTTCTCATTATGTAATTATTCTGATCTAATTGTATCTAAATAGACCCTTAGTCTTTCGTCGTCGTTTAATAATCAATTAATTTGTTCTTTTCTTTGGTTATTGATTTTAATAAACCTAAATCGTAATTATTGGTTTCGATGATTTTGATAAAATATAACTACATGCAGGTTTTCAGTCTACTGGTAAAAGTAACTGCAGATTTTTATGAACTTTTTGTTACTGTATGTAAATTTTTAAAAATTGTATACAGCTTCAATGTATATACTTCTGTATAGCAGTAACGTTTATAAATACAAAATAAAAATGTTCCTCTTCAGTTGCAAAAGAAAAACGGGATCCAAATAAGAAGTCTTTTCCTTTCACAATTACATTAACAAATTGAAAATAACAGTCGGACATCCAACGTTTCTTTTAATTCTTTTACAATTTCCAATTTCACCTACCAATTTTTGTCGTGAAATCCGCTGCTTAGTAATAAATGGAGAAATCGACTAGTAGTTTATACGCATGGTAATTTACAAACAAATCGGAGGGTGCAGACGGAAAGTCGACAAACTGTTATTTTACCATCAAAACCGCCGACAACGAAGATCATATCGTCCAAGATGACCGTGGCGAAATTGCTGCGGGGGCTGAACATTTCTGGAACCGCGTGCCAGTCCTCCGAATGGTTCGGATTGTAACGTTCCCCTGCGGGAACACAAGATCGATATTGTAACGAGACATTAATTTCCACGCAGCGGAAAATCCCTAGCCGAGAGGGTGCTCTTACGCTCGGCAGAGCGATTCCAAGCAGGAAACTTCCAATGAAATTGAATGCTTCAGAGAACAAACAACCTCGGCATAAATAAAAGATTCTTTCCGTATTATAGAATCTCTCTGTTCGGCCCTGATACTCTCCTATCGAACAAAAAATACTGCGAACAGTTTTCCCGTTACAATTTTCCGATATTCGTGCGTTGAAATAAAAATTGCTCCTCTGAAAGATTTAACGCAGTAAATTCTCTCTAATTTTCCTTCAGCTTGCAAACAAAAATGTTCAATTTGGGAAGAGGAGATACGATTATTCGAGCCTTGCACCTTGTTTTTATAATTGTTGAGAATCGGCAACTATAAAAATGAGCCACGGGGCTCGAATAATCGTATCTCCTCTTCCCAGATTGTCCATTATTGTTTACAAGCTGAAGGGGAAAATTGCGGAGTATTTACTGTAGTCTTCAAATTCTTCTGAAAATTTAATGACATTTTAGCTCAACGTTTATTCAAGAAAATAATAAAAATTCGTAACCTTGAGCATGGAAGACAAAAACTTATGTATATAGTGCAGTACACTACGTAGTACACTATGTAGTACACTACGTATGTAGTGTAGAAAACATAAACAATACGTTCTAATTCTTTACCATATAAGTAATTAAATTGTACGTTTTTAACTTCTGGAAAAAGGTAAGGTAATAAATAAGATAATAAATAAATAATCAAATAATAAACAAAATAAGACTAAGACGAATTCGAAATTCGTTTTCGAAGAGTTAATCAACAAGTTAATAAACAAAAATTAAGCAATACGTTATGCAATTCAAGATCGTAGCGTGTTTTATAGACTCGTGCGTAAGAATTAATCTTTCCAAAGTTTGACAAGTACTGTATATTCTAACATATTTCCATGTTAAAATTGAAAGAACGGATCAGACGATGCAGACAGAAATAGATTCGGTTCCACGATTAGGGCGCGTTTAATTTACCACTGCTCAGTCTGTTAAAGCCGTCGAAGCCTCCGAGAGCGTAGAGGCTGTCCCGGAATGCAACCAGGGAAACCCCCGACCGCGGGTTCAGCATCGAATGAATGTAACTCCACTGATTGGTCTCCACGTCGAAGACCTCCGCGCAATCCAGGACCTCGCGGCCATTGAAACCGCCGACGATGTAAATCTTGTCGTGCAACGCCGCAGCGCTTGCATCCGATCGCTGTCGTTGCATCGGCGGTATCATCTCCCATTGGTTCCTTTGCGGCTCGTATCTTTCGCCCGAGCTCATTCTCCCGCGCCCGTTATAGCCGCCCAGGGCGTAAATCTTGCCGCCTAAATAATTATAACTTGATATAACTCAGTAGTATTACAATATACAATAAAATTCAATAATGTAAGTCAAACTCATTTATGAGAAAAATGAATAATATGTCAAATATGCATGAGAACTTTAGAAGAATTTAAAGATAACATTATATACAGAGGGTGTCTCAAAATTGTGGTACTTCTGGGAACTGAGGGGTTCCTGAGGTCATGTGAAGTAACTTTCCTCTTAGCGCAAATGAAATCCGCGGCTTTGTTTACGAGTTATTAACGAAAAACGCTGACCAATGAGAAGCGAGCTCTGCTGGCGCGAGGCGGAGGCCAACGAACGGACGACGCCCAGTTCTACTCATTGGCCGCCTCGCGTCAGTAGATCTCACCTGCCATTGGTTACTGTTTTTCGTTGATAACTCGTAAACAAAACCGCCGATTGCATTTTCGCTAAGGAAAGAGTTACTTCGAATGACCTCAGGAACCCCTCATTTCCTGGAAGTACCATAATTTTGGAATATTCTGTATTCTTTGCAACTTGTTAAAGTTATCGGAAGAAGAAACAAATCTATCTGCAATACGGACTTGTTGCAATTGATGCAGACAATTCTCATTTTGCATAAAGATCCACAGTCTATCCACTTATGTGCAAAGTTTCATAATTTTTGATTTCACGTGGCTCAGAAACATCCCTTGTCGGTTACATCTTGCCCCTAGTTTCTGTAACAATTTTCGAGCGATTTGACACGGCGCGCATCTATCAGGATCAAGCAAAGATCAAGACCAACATCGCCGTGAACGGGACAGGCCAGTGAACCGATCCCTTTATCTAAACGACCGGTCGCGACCCTCCGTTCTCCCAGATCGCCGCCCCTCGTCTCAGGACAAAGGATCTTACCATGAGTGCAAACGCTGACGTAACACCTCGCGTGGTACATGCACGCCCGTTCCCGCCATTTCTTGATCACCGGGTCGAAGCAGCGGACCGTGTTGAAATGTTGATTCCCATCGAACCCGCCGATCATGTAGATCAGATTGTCCAGGGCGCAGAGCCCGTGGTAGGACCTCGGCGTTGCGTCCGTGTTCACTGATAGAAACCATCTGTCAGCTCTGGAGTTCACATTACACGACCCGGTGAATCTCGGCTTGGTGAACGGCGGTTCTCGCAAGATCGGTAACCGTCGCGATAATGGAGAAAATCGAGGAAAATGGAGGAAAGTCGCGGCACCTCGTGTCGTAGGTCTCCACGAAGTTGGTCGGCGCGCCGGCGGTCCAGCCGCCGATCGCGAACAGGATTTCGTGAGGGATCCGCGGCCGCGCGAGAGGATTCTTCAGATCGATATCACCGCCGTTCTGCTTCGCGTCCAGCTTGTTTATGTACGCGTTTGCCTCCCATATGATTTGCTGGCAGACCTTCGGAGAATAAAAATGAACCGTGGAAAATTTTCCTGGGGAACCGATCGATTTTTCCAGGGATAACTGATTAATCGAAACGAGAACAGGTTGAAGTATAACTATTTCCTTTAAATGACTTTGGTTAACAATAAGGATTGTGAATGAAGGAAATAGTTATTGGTTACAAATGATCGTTATAAATGACGAAAATAGATTTTCTTTACAGATAAGAATTGTCGGTTACGAGAATGTTAATTTGTTACAGGTATATACATATATAAGTATATACAGATGTATATACTTTCTATACAATAAGCATGTTTTAAAATTTAATAGTGATACGGTGACTCCCATTAATGTTCGAGCAACTTTTAAAACGCAATAACCTTTTTAGAACTGGACTAAACGACTTGAATCTTTTTTAGATGGCAGAAGCACCAGTCTACTGGACAGTAACTAGAATGCTTTTTTTAATTTTGCTATTACTTGGAATGACAAAAAAAAGAATGAAAAACTCATGCTTGAATGTTCAAACTCGATTTTCTTACAAAAAAGCTATTCTATATTTTTTCATGTTTTTTTAAAATGAGAAATCACCTAGTGCTCGCTTGTTCATACTTTTCAGAGACACCCTGTACTGATAAATTAAATGAAATTAAATTCTAATGTCAGAGGACCGAATAATCGAGGTTATTTCTACATTGTAACACGAATCGCGAATAGACAAAAAGGGAAGAGCCTCGAGAATAACAGAATAAGGCGAGTAAAAATAAAAATTGCCGTCTACGTCGAAGAGTCGGAAAGAAAGGAGGTGTAAAAAGGAAATCAATATGTTCTGCTTGGCCTTCGGATAATGGACGGTGCCGGGACTACTCACTTCATCCTCCTCGATGATCGTCCACGTGAGAATATTGTTCGTGAAGAACGGATAGCTGATAAAACCGTAGCGCACGCATTTCAAGAGTCTCTGCAAACGGGGCCTCCTTTCTTCTAGGTTGTGCTCGACCCAGGTTTTAACGGCCTCGAAAACTATTTCCTCGTTTTTAACGTTGAGCTCGTCGTCACGTAGGATCGCCTCGAGTTCCTCGCCGGTGAGCTCTTTGAATTCCGGGCTCTCTTGCAGTATCCGCTTAAAGTGATGACGAATGTATTTCCGGCCCTTCTCTTCCAGGTCACGGCAGAAATAGTGACGGGCGAATTTAATGATACCTAAGTTGTCACAATTCAGCAGTCTCGCCAATCGCTGACGTTTTACACGGTACGCGATTCTCTCCCGTTCGATTGTCTCTCGCGGTTAATTACCATCAGACTGCGGATTTTATGCATTTCCGTGGGATACAGTAAATTCTCCATAATTCAGGCTCAGCTTGTACACAAAAATGGACAATTTGGGAACAGGAGATGCGATTATTCGTTTTTATATTTATATAAAATATATAAATATACCGCAAGGCTCGAGATAATCGTGCCCCCTGTTCCCAAATTGTCCATTTTTGTTTCCGAGCTGAGCGTCAATTAGGGAGAAATTACTGTATTGGTACAAGACCAAAAAAATGACACTTTAAAATTAACGTGATTTTTATTTATTCAAAATTACGACCAAGATTCCGTTTTTATACTAAATATATACAATAGTGTGTATGTATATATACAATATGAAAAACATTTAATTACAAATATGTTCACACATAATATGTATACACGTTGAGTCGCCGAATGTTTGCACGTCAAATATCTTTGTTGTTTCCAAAGATACGTCAAATGCCTTAAGAAGAAACTTGAATGGTTCAATAGAGCTGACACGATGCCATAAAAATATTTGATTTTATGTTACTTTTCTTAGAAATATCAAGATTACCTCCATTTTCTTTTAAAGAGGACCACCTGTTTTTAAACATGTACGATGATAGAGTCCCACTCATTGAAGATCACGGACAGAGTCCATGAGATATTTGATATGCTTCGAAAACAACAAAGATAGTTGAGGTTAGGTGATTCATCCTGTATATTATAATTATATGTATGTACAAAGTGTTCCGTATTTTTCCGTGCATAGTTTAGGAGTGTGTTCTACAAGTAAAAACAAGATTAAAATGTAATATAATAAAAAGTTCATAAATGCTTTGTTAAGTATTTGTGATATAAATACAAAATATGATTTAAACGCTGTTAAATATACCTATAGTCTTCACGCGACAAGAAGGCATCTTTGTGTTTATATTCCTCCTTTTACCGCTTTATCTCTGCCCCACTGCCGCAACTATCGGTCGCTATTGACCGCCGTCGATCTTCGTCACCGTTTTCGGCCAATAGCGACCGACAGATGTAGCAGTGGGGCAGCTAGTAAAAGGGAACAAAGGTGCCTTCTTGTCGTGTGAGGACTGTATAGCTCCACTTCAAAGTGACGCTCGTCTTTGTTGACACAAATTTGACATCGACGAGTTATCGAATTTATTATTGATTTCAGTTGCTTGTAATTTTGTCTAATCTCTTCGCAAGCGACATTAATTTTGTAATTAATTCATCTCTTGTACGTTATCGTTATCATATCTTTAACATTACTTATTTTTGACATAACTTCTCGACAAAGTATTTATGGACCTTCTGTTATATAACATTTTAGTCTTATTTTTACTTGTGGAGCACACTCCCGAAGTATGTACGGAAAAATTCGGGACTCTCTGTATATCTGTAAATATTATATACATATGAATTTAGAGTTTTTATGAAGTACAGTTTGAACATGATTAGTCACTTCTTCAAAAACCATTTTCTGTGTGGGAAAATGTTGATATTCCAAAAACTTGCCAAAACCAACGAACGTTGTTCGACAAATCTGTTAATGTATATATCAAATTATTACGATAGTTCCTTATGCTTTCCACTACTTTTACTTATTCCGTAATGTCAGAAACATTTCGCATTCATATTTACATGAGCAAATAAATGAAAAATAATCATAAGTAGATATGAATAACGCAACGTATAAGTAACAAATAGATGCTTTTATTATATATCCATGTGAAAGAGGGTGTAACGACAAAAATCATTTTGCTCAACTAATATTGCGTTTTAAATCATTATCCAGCGTTAAGAAGATCGAGAATGACGAGATGCGGCGAAAAATCGGACACCAAGGTTTTGACTTCACGACGGTATTGACAACAAGCGTGGTACATTGCAACATCGATTATCGGAATACCAATTATTCGAGAGCACAATTATTGGATCATGGAACGTATTACATACGTATCTAATGTAGTAATTTTCATATTTGGAAGCGCATATTTTCTTCGCTTTGGACGCTACGTTCGCGTTATTTATGTATCATTAAAATAACTTATACAATGATTTAAATTTCAAATAACAATGTAAGTCAAATTCGTACCGATTATATTAAATTGTGTGAGGTTTAAGAAACTATATTTAACATCAATCGTTTTACAGATTTTTATATAATAATATTTGAACGTTGTTTTCATGACGATCTTGGTAACAACGAATCGAGCATATGATCATTGAATTCAATATTTATACAATCAACCATAAATTAAGTACTACTATAATTGGAAAAAGTACAGAACATTACTAACAACACTTAAGATATTAAATAAGGATAATAATGCTTAAGAATTATAAATTGCTATACAGTGGATTTTATGCATTCATGGTAAAAATCGGTAAGACAAATACATACAGAACAACGGAGTTATTACAAGAATTTGAAAATATCGTAATTTACAAAAAAATATAATCACAGAAAAATTTTTAATGATATAATACATACAAATGCAATGTGTAAACCACATTAAGTACATTGCGTCATGTTACGTTAAACGTGCATTATATTGCGTTATGCAGAAATGGCAGCAAACTGTATACTTTCCAGTTTTTGAATCATATATTCGCAACGCGGAAAATAAACGAAAATTGCATATTCTACGATAAACCTAACGAAACTTTTAAATAAGGTAATTCAAATTTCAGGATCAGATCTTCTATGATATTCAAGGTTCNTGCAGAGCAAGATAACCTCGGTGCAGAATATATTAATTTTTACACAAAGGTCCGCGGTCTAATGATCATTTGTTTGTTGCTGGTTCGACAGTTAATTATTTTAGGAGAACGAAGAAAGAACAATATTTTTGTTCATTTTCTGAAATGGATTCCCGAGCGCTTTTAACCCCTTGCACTATAACAACGAGTCGTTCGAAATAAAAATGTTATTCGTTTCTTCTAAATCGAAACGAAATTTGGTTCTTCCGTTATCAAAGTCTAGGAATGAAGATAAAATGAAGACACAAGAGAGTCAAAAATTGTCTGATTCTATTAGAACGAAGAAATGCTAATCGACGTAGCTGCGAAAGAAATATGCAAGGGGTTAGCACAGGTTTCACTTAACATATAAGTCATAGAACTTTCATTGACCAGATTCTAAACCATTTGTTCCACGAGAACACGTTTGAAAAATGTTCCTAAATGCAACATCTCGCAACAATTGAACATTTACAGGTACCTTCTTAAACGAGACATGTAAGTGTTCGAACAGTTTTCGAGAAACGAATTGCTTCCGATTCCTAAGTTTTATCAACGAATCGACACCATTACCTAAGCAATTCTCCGGCCTGAGCTCCTGCAGCAGGAACTGGCAGCACAGTTGGACGACCCCGAGGACCTCGAACTGATCGGCGAGCGGTAAGAGCTGCTCGACGTTGTCGGTGTTGACGTCGCAGGTGCCGGTGTACGCGTAATCGAGGATCAGGCTGAAAATTTCGCTGGGTATGGAATCGATGACGACCTCGGTGGTCTCGGTCTTGCCGCCTTTCAGGCTGTTCGTGAAAAGCGCCTTGAAGTACGGGCTGACCGCGGACAAGATGACTCGGTGCACTGGGAATACGTGGTCCCTGGCGCATCTGATTGCACCGTCGCACAGCTGCTGGTTCGCCCTGAAATATCGACGCGTCAACGGGGGCCGGACAGTGTCGAGGAAAATGTGAACGGGGCCACCCTCGGATCCCCGAAGAACCCGCGCACCTGCTACTTTTTAATTAAAACGCTTTTCCGAGCCACCGCCGTGGAGTCGAACAGTTCCGCGAATTCTATTCGGACGAAATTAGCAGAGAACGTAATTATGCATAAATGCTGCCGTTGTTTGTTAACGATCCAGCCGGAGATATTTCTGTGAATTCGCGTTCCCTCGGACTTTGTTCGAGCGGGTGGGATCGCATCGTTAACCTGGAAACCGCGGCTCGGATTAAATCCGACCCAGATTTCCGGAAAATTGCGGGCCGCTCGTCAGCTTTTAGTCGTCAAATTAGGTTGACAATTACATTAAGTCTAAATAGGGATCGATGCGTCACCGGGAAGTAGGTTGAGTGCGGACATCCACCTGGAGGTTGCTGTGATCGAAATAGGATGAGGACTTTGTACTCAATCGGGGCTTTTATTTTATGCCTTCCTCCGGTCTTTGCGATGAATCATTAACCCCTTAAGCGGAAATGACGAGCCTCGCCTGCAAACATTTTCTGTGCCGAACGCGAATTTAACGGGCGACGCCTGTCGCGTATTTCAGCGCTTAATAACCGTATAATAATTCTTATAACCGTTAAAAAAAGATTATTATAATGTTCACAATAGTAATAAGGAATGTAAATAGTTTGTAAATTTTGTTCCCAATAATTCCAATTATATTAAGAATTTTATTCTTAAGTTAATTGTAACTTGAAAAGGATATTTTTCAATTTTTATTTAACGTTACCATTACTCTGTTAACCATTTATATAAATATATTAAACAAAAAGGGAAATGTTTAAGTTTCATTTTATGATAACACACACCTCACTGAATTGAATTGTCCGCAGTCGCACGTTTTTCTTTTTTTGCAAATAAATCGTAAGGCAAATTGGTTAACGAACTGCGAACTGCGCGATATTAATGAAACGCCGTGGAGTTCAACTTTTAAGATTCGCCGCGAGGCATTCTTTCATGCTCGCTAAGAGACAGAGTCGAAATTAAAGTCAACAGATCTCTCGTTCGGCGAACCGAAGAATCAACATCCAGAGATGGCCGAGCACGATTCACGGTCGCTAATGGACCGCAAACGAATCAACTTGGCAGTGAAACTGACGTTTACTGCCAATTACGATATTGTACGCGGTGCGATGGACAAGGGTCGCGTCTAATTGAAACATCCTACCGATCGGATTCGTTCGGACAATGGGCTCGGAAGTGAAAAGACCAGGCGGGGACACGCACCTAAGCTCCGACCAGACCATGGGAAACTCGACGAGGCCGTAGTTCGAGGGCAGACACATGCATTTCCGGACTCTGGTCGCCTGCTTTCTGGTGCACTGTTTCAGTTTCGCGGTGAGAACAGTGGTTCGCGACATTCGGCTGCGGAATAGCTTCCTAAACTTCATCCTGCGGCGTCCGTCCATCGCCTCGTGGCCGGCCAACGCGATCCTCTCGTCGCTGGCCACCACCATTACTTCCTTCCAGCTGTTAACGTTCACCGGGTTCCGCGTTTTCCTTTGCTACCAGCCGATCGTTCGTTCTCGTGTTCGCTCTGATTAACGATGCCAGACCCGGCACCGGAGATTCGCGGCCATGACAGAGGAACGCCGATACTTTCAGCTGACGGTACTGGCGAGCGCGATGATCGAGATCGAGGCCGGTCGTTGATCCTCGACTCACTTCCCGTTCGTAGGAATCAGCTAACTGGCCACTTAATATTAGTTCCTGAGATGCTAATACGCTTTCTGGGCTTCGTAAAATAAGCATGGCGAACGTGGAGTGCGAAATCTCCATTTTGCAATTTCAAACCGGAAACAATTTTTAATAGCCTATCTCGTCGAGATCATTTTTTCGTTCGTTATTGAGAGTAGCGGACAGAAGATTTATTCTGACTTCCTTTCTTCTCGATTTTTTGACGTAAACGGCAATTTTTCCCGGCAATTTTTCCGGCAATTCAACGTTTCAAATTTATAACCTCTGCTTTATCCAGCTTAATTGTTTTAGCTTTCATAAGTCATTGACCTCCGGCTGTTATTAAATTAATCGTAATCGATGGCTCCGAGTCTGCGAATATTTAGCAATAAATGAAAATAAAGAGGGTGTGGGGACGGCTGCTGAGAAATGGAGGGGCGGCAGACGACTATCGCTACCCCATTAATTCCACCTATCCAATTAAATCACCCCGCGCTAAATGTATAGCAATATCAGATTAATACGTACAAGTATGCAAAAATAAATAAGGGGCGGGAGGACAGCAGACGACCCCTTCCGCCCCATTAATTCCTTCTAACCAGTAAAACTAAATCACCCCGTGCTAACATCTAACGATATCAAATTTAATATAACTACGCAGAAATAAAAATAAGTAAGGCGGTGAGACGCGACCAATTATAAACCGAGGTACAGCAAACGACTGCTTCCACCCCATTAGTTATTTCCATCCAGTCAAATCGCCCTGCGCAAAGCATATAACAAAATTGCTAAATTAATACATAGACACGAAAAAGCAAAAATAAATAAAGGGGTAAGGCACGACGAACTATAGGGGTAGCAAACGACTAGTTCCACCCTATTAATTTCTACCGGCCAATTAAATCGCCCTAAGTTAAACATGTAACGGTTATAAAATTAGTACATGGGTACACAAAAATAAAAATGAAAAGGGAGGTAACGCGCAAACCGAGGAACACCAGACTCACCTTTATTAACACGTTCGCGAACGTGAATACTATAGCATCCATTTTCATTGTGATGCAAAATGACATGAACGCTGCAAAATTCAAACTTCTAAGCCACATTATCATGTATTCAATTCTATATAGCGTTTATTTTTTGAAACTATTACGCGTTTTAATTTGATCTGTATCGACGTGGATGCTATAACATTTGTTCTACACAACTATTAAAATATGATATTCTGAGCACTTGGACAAAATGTGACTAATCAAAATTTGGAAATCACTATTAGTTTAAGAATAAATATAAAAAATATCTTTGCAGCTCATTAAAATTTTTGCTGCCAACCAAACCGCCCACGCTAAACACGCAACATAAAACGATACAAAACTAAATAAGTGTCCGAGCCTAATTATTAGACTGCAGACCTTATACATTTATTTGCCGAAACGAATAGATGAAATATAAAACAGTGAAAAGATTAAATGAAACTAAGAACGTCGACGTACAAATGTCAACCTATTAAATTTATTTAAGAAGGGACAAACATTTCACTCGAGTCTCGCGTCTTGCAATCGACGCAGACATGTTTTTACTTTGCATAAAGACCCGCAGTCGACCAATTATAAATCGAGGGGCGCGCCAGACCGCTGCGGGCCAGCGGCTCCTAAATCGCCGGGCGCGAAATAGCTGCCCGCAAATACCGACATCCGCCCCCGAAAGGCACGAAGAACCCGAAACTGGCACCCGGGGTCCGATCGATCGTCGCGATCAAGCCTGGTCCGAATTCTCAGCGACCCTGAGCATCGCGAGTCAACCCGGTAAACACCGATCTCGCGCGACAGGGCGGGGTCGCAGGGGGATGAAACCGGGCAGAGGCGGCAGCGGCGGCGGAGGGGTTGTCGGTGGTGGGCCGATCGAAAGCGTGGAGCGGGATCGTGTGTCCGCGAAACAAAAAGCCCACGGGCGAAGGTTAAGGGCTGGGGGAGGACGGGCGGGGGTGTACGGTGTTCTGGCACGCACACCGTCACGCAGCCGGACACGCAAACGCGAACGGGCGCACGTAAAAGTCACGTGGCACGCAACCGCACCAATCAATATCGGGCCGGCGCGGGGTGTGTGCGTTCACCGGGAGTCAGTGGGAACCGGCGATGCAGCGAGCCAGTGCGTCCGCGGCCGTCAACCACACCTTGTCGGGGAAGCCTGCTCGCGAGGCTCTGTTCGCGACGAACGTACACCCTCACCGGCGCAGCCCGCACACACAGGCGGCTCACGCACACACGTGGAAGAGCACGGCAGACAACCCCCCGGCCGGCCGCGCCGTGTGCGCGCAACCCCCGACCGCCTCCTCACCTGTGCGTCTACGACGACTCGTTTCGCTTTCGCCGCGGCCTGCCTGTGCCTGCCTGTTGCGGAACACCAGCCGACTCATCCGGGGAGCTACGATTGAAGGTACGCTCACAGCGAAAGAAACGCCGCGGGAACACGCCCCCGCGCGTCCTCGGCCGCTCGGCACCCTTCCCTTCGGTGATCGACTAAGAGCCGCGCGGTCAGTGCTCCGCAGGGGTGACTTTCTAGCTGGCCGAGACTTCTCGCGCGGTGCTTGGCTTTCCTGCGGGCTCTGCCAGCACTCCCTGAAATTATAGATCCTTCGTTAAAAGACTCCCGCCTGGCTGCGCGACGAGGGGAGAGACCGCGGGGAAATTGAAGGGTGAACTTGATAAGGTATCGCCGTATCGGCGAAGCCCGCGCGGCCGACTTTGTGGTTTTGCGGTTTTCGAGGGCCCGGCTTCTTGGCGAGGGGGCTCGGGTAATTAAGGGAGTGGTTTTAGTACTTCGTTATCTGCGAGATCCAGTGCTCGCGATTCCAAGAGCCGGAGATCTTCTTGAAAGGGTTGATTATTGGCGTTGCCGCGGGGGATTCGCCGCGCGTTGCGGATCTTCTTCAGGGGTTAGCCGAATGTTCAGTGAATGGATTTCTCGACTTTGTTCGACCGGCCTTCGATGAATGGGGAACGCTCGGAGCGAAGACGCGAGATGGGCATCTTTCCGAGGACCGCTCGACTTTCTCGTCCGGCGGGGGTGAAAGGGGTGTTTAATGGTGGTCGAGTGTTTTCGAGGAGCCGTAGGTGAAAGTCGAGAGGTGCGTGGCAGCCGGCGTCGTACCCGGGGATATCGAGCGATCGAGGCGTCGTGAATTTTTTAGATCGCCTCTTTCTGATGCTCACCGAGGGAAACGTGTTCGCCGGTTTATCTACGGCGGCCAGACACGAGGGCGGGGTGGTGTGGCGGGGGCGAGCGGGGCCCCGGGGAGGGCAGGAGGGGTCGGTGTCATGACGGGCGCAATATTAAACGAAGCTGTACGATGCTGTTTCATTCGCGAGGGTGATTCACACGCAGGAGTATTTGAAATCCTCTTCTACGGACGCGTGAAATCCTCCTCCTCGACGCTCGCACCTTTCACGCGCTCGAGGCGTTCCGCGACTCGTGCATATCTGCCTCTGTGTTTTTTCCCTCTTTTTACTCGTTTTTCCTTGTCACCGGAACGTTGCATGAGCTGTTGAATTTTTAAACGTGTTAGCCGGCGTCGCTGGAATTTCTCGAACTTTTGATGTCTGGCGCGACGCGCTTCCGGGGTTGCTGCGGCTCGTACCTTTTATTTTGTTGTGCCGGACTGTGTAATATGGAATATTCCCTTTTCGATGGAAAAATCGATGTTGGAAACGATAGCCGATCGTTCCTCTGGTTTCCTGTACGTGGGAAACGAAGCTGTAAGATTCGTGATGAATGCTTCTGCGATGGGAAGGGGGGAGAGGGGGTAAATAAAATATGACAACCGTGAATGACATCTCTGTAGAATTCGCTCAAGTTACTTCCAACTCAACCTTTCTCTGTTAACGTGTTAATTGCCCGATATGAAATCCAAACGTTTCCACAATATCAAAATCATTTAAACTAATTAATTCGAAACTAGAAAGTTAAAATTTACCGTAGGAAATCTCAGTTCGTCTCTTTGACTCTCTTAAAATTCCTAAATCTTTTAGTACGTTCAATATATCACAATAACGATGAATTTTAATTTTAATAGTAATTATATAGAATTCTACTTGATATTTTTACTTCGTGTCATTTCCGTGAAATTGATTTCTGAACTTCCATATAGCTATTCCATGAAAAATCGAAACAGGAATGTTTGAATAATGAATAATGAATAATGAACGGGAATACTTCCCGAAGAGAACACTGGAAACCCACGAACTATACTCGAGCACACACAACTTTATTTCGAAAGATACATATTTCGAAAGATTATTTACGAGTTCCAAGAATTTCAATCCTTCAAATATTATAAACAGAATTGTTTGAGTATACCGAATTCAAGATTGATAAGACTAGAACAGACTAGAACAAGAAGCCATACAAGAAGCCAGCTTCAAAGTGTCCAGAACTGAACAGAACATAAAATGCTGACACTTCTGGATCAGATCGTAATAACTGAACCCCAACAACAAAAACAAAAATACCAAAAGAACAAGATCTGTTACAATGATTTGCTAAATAACATTTCTAAAAATAATAAAACTTCAAAGCCAGTTTCACAGAAACGAACTAGATTTCAGAGTTAGCTATTTCTCGATAATCATCTGAAATCTCACAGATTCTGACCAAATTGGTGCGCCCTGTTCATGTTAACACTAAACCTACCAAGTCGATCAAAATGACCGGATTTTTTTATGTAATAAAATTACAGAGACTACATAAATTGTAATAAAAATCGCTGAGGGTTTAAATAGATACAATCTCTTCTTAGAAATTGGTAGGTTTTGTGTTAAAAGCCAGAAAAATAATTGGGCGCGTGCGGACTCCGACCAGCCGGCCAGCCGAAAAAGCGTTAATCAGACGATTTTAATTGCAAACGGACTGCTGGTTCTCCTCGACTTGCTGGAATCCTGGAAATAAGAAGGCTGGTAGACACAGCACGACGGGAGTCCGGCGTCGAAGCGTGTGGTAAACCTAAACGAAGCTCTCTCGGCGCGGGTTCTCAGTGAGTCATGCGCCGCGTCGAGCATCGCCGGCTTTATTTCCAAACGAGCATCCCCATCGACGCCGGGAAGTCGGGTACGAAATGGTTATAACGAGACGGTGAAATTTGATTTCGCCCACGCGACCGATCACAAGCCGCCACCAGACCGGAAATTGCTTAGACGCGGCTTTCAAAGTGGATCCGAGACGAACGCGAGCCAGCCCCGACTTTCCGCCATCCGGATTTCCTCAAAAGCGTCTCTCCTCTGCTTTTCCACGACGTTCTCGGTCCCCGGGGACAGTCTCTTCGCCGGGAATCGCTTTTCTGATCAGTGATTCGTTACAGTGAACTGGTGTTTATAGCGCAAGCAAGGAACTTTTGAAAAAATCAGGTGAAACTTCGTTTTCTGTGATACGAGAAAAGCTTCGGAAGAAACTACGTTTACAGGATTCCAATTTTGTTGTTTGACATTGATTGGTCTGAGTTAATTCCGCGTTTGATTTTAATCATTTGTATAGCTGAGAATCGTCTAAAAGTGAGAAAAACCAAAGAAGAACATTTTCATTTCGTTTTTTATCACGCAGAAAGAGCTTCGAAGAAAATTATGTTCGAAGGATTCTGATTTCGTTGCAGCACTGGTCTCGGTTGATTCTGTTCGATTTTAATAATTTGTACAGTTGAGGATTGTTTAGAATCATTTCCTTTAACAATGATTCGCAATGAAGGAAGGCTATGTTTAGAGGATTTTAAATTTGTCGTAGGGTTGCTCTGTCGGTCTCTTGGCGCAGGCTACGTAGTTGAAGATCGTTTAGGTCGTTGTCGGTATCTGGTGCATTGCTAACGTAAATGCGCGGATTGTTACGATACTTGGTTTTATAGCGGCATTTCAGATACACATGTATTTTAAGTAGTGACGACAGCTCGGCGACCACTATCGAAAGATGGTGGATATGGTTTTCGTTTCGAGTGCACACGAATGCGAAACACGTGGTCGGACGATGTTCGAAGACCGATCATGGTCAGACTAATAAACAGAGCAGCGTTCGCGCGCTTCTCAGAAATTGTCCTTGCACTGTTGACGCACAATAAATCGACGTAGTAAATATTTGACTCCGTGGTTTATCGTCCAGTTACATACTTTGATTACGTTCTGTTATTCATTACAGTCGCGGAAAGAAATTGTGTTCGTTTCAAGAAAACAGGTTCGTCGAACGTAAAGATTACGAATTGGAATTTTCGTTTTACGAAAAGTTATAAGTTTCATCATTTTTATGAGTACATATTTTCGGTCAACGTATTCGTGATGTAAAATTTGTTGCACTCGCAGACGGACAGCTGTCGAGGGATTTTCGAAAATGGACCTGAAGAGGAAGGTAGCGTTGGTGACCGGTGCCGCTGCCGGAATCGGCAAAGCGTTCGCCACGGAGTTGGTGTATCAAGGTGTACAGGTGAGTGAAAAACGACCGAACATCGAAACTTTCAGCTGGCCACTTTGAAATCGAAGTGCTACAACGATCGAATACAAATTCGTGCCCGAGTTTTCAATGCGATTGGATTGCCGTAAAAAGAGAGCGAAGCAAGTTGTATAAAAAGTATTTATTTAAAAGAAAAATTCTTCTTATGAATATAACCTTGACTGACAAATTCATACGCCGCACTATAATTGCTTTAACCGGTTGCAATCAAGAGTGACTGACTTATATTTAGATCGCTTCCCGTCAGGGAAGATATTACGGTGCTATCTGACCGACTTGCGAGGAATAAAAAGTGTTCGTTAATAAAAGCAGTAGGGGAAGCATGTTTATCGCAATCTGTGCAGAAGAATGGCGCTCCACAAAAATATCGCTTTACTTTTTACAGAATTTATAAATTACTGCCGAAAATCTTTCGTTTAAAATATAATGCAACATTTTTACATTACTCAAAAGTTCGACAGAAAATTGAATTGAAACGATTCGCTTCCGATTTTGTTATTACAAATAATTATCTTTGAACAATAAATGCATAACTGCTCGATTATCGGCTCAGAAAGAACACGGTTACACACGCGTAACCTGATCAGATTATCAGATGATCGGATTAATTTTTAATCGGACTAGGTTTCACGTGAACGTTTTTTTATACTTCGATTTGCAGGTTGCCGTGTGCGACATCGATGTTGACGAGGGCGAGAAGCTGGTAGAAATTTTAACCTCAGACTACGGAAAGGACCGTGTGATTTTCTGTCAATGCGACGTCACAGATTACACACAGTTCGAGGGTACGCAAATACGAAACGCATCAATGTGACATTCAGCTAATGGAATCGATTTATAATAAACGATAGTAACCGACTGCGAAATCATTTTATTCTAGATGCATTTCAGAAGACAACCGCGACGTTCGGTCACATCGATATAGTTGTAAACAATGCTGGGATCATGAACGATCGGTTTTGGGAGCTGGAGGTCGACATTAACGTCGTGAGTACTCGCTTTCGAGTTCATTAATTATTATAGACGTATCGATGGACAGTTCGGTAATTTCTCGAATGTACCGACCGTTTCAACACGCGTTTCAGAACGGTGTAATCCGCGGAACGCTGCTTGCTCAACGATTTATGAGAACGGACATGGGTGGTCACGGCGGAATAGTGGTTAATATTGGAAGCAATATCAGCATCAACCCCTACCCCAGTGTTCCGATCTACTCTGCCACCAAAGCGGCCATTGTCAATTTCACCAGAGCGTTCGGGGTAAATATCATCTCCCATTATAACGTTTAAAACAATTCAACCAACATTTAATTCACTTATATCACGAAAACATAACGATTCAGAAAATATTATAAATTTTTCCGACGGCATTAGTTGATCATGTTTAACGTAACACAGACGTAAAATCGAACAACAAGAGAATCCGAAGCAATTTTCTTCAAATCGTCTCACATAACTCTAAAGATAATATATTAAATGTCACTAACGTTGTGTGTTGTTGTTGTTGTTGTTTGCAGCACCAGTACCACGTGGACCTAACCGGCGTGAAGGTGATGGCACTGTGCCCAAGTGCGACGGATAGTAAATTGTTAAAGGACGTCAGTAAACAGCTGCTCTGGTTGCGATACGAGGATGCCTGGCATTGTGACATAGCCAATTCCGTGCCACAAAGGTAGAAAAACGTCAAACGAACCGTAACACAACTCTATCTGCAGTTCTGGGGTAGTGGAGGCAGTTACTGTGGGGTAGCCAATTACTGTGCCTTTTATTTATTTTCAAGCATAATGAACTTTATATTTAGAGAGCACATGATACTCTCTAACGTGAACTTTTAAACGACTTATTATTATATTAAATTCTTTTCATAGAATATGTATAGAATATGTATATGGAGTGTTCAAAAAATGTCTCACAATCCGAAAGTAGGGGATTCCTAGGATCATTTGAGGCAACTTTTTCCTTAGCGAAAATGCAATCCGCGGCTTCGTTTACGAGTTATTAACGAAAAACAGAGACCAATCAGAGGCGAGATCATTTGACGCGAGACGGCCGAGCCAATGAGCGGAACTGGGCTCCGTGCACTTGTTGGCTGGGCCGCCGCGCGCCAGCCGAGCTCGCCTCTTATTGGTCAGTGTTTTTCGTTAATAACTCGTAAACGAAGCCTCGGAGAAAATTTTCGCAAAGAAAAAAGTTGCTTCAAATGACCTCAGGNATAACGATTCAGAAAATATTATAAATTTTTCCGACGGCATTAGTTGATCATGTTTAACGTAACACAGACGTAAAATCGAACAACAAGAGAATCCGAAGCAATTTTCTTCAAATCGTCTCACATAACTCTAAAGATAATATATTAAATGTCACTAACGTTGTGTGTTGTTGTTGTTGTTGTTTGCAGCACCAGTACCACGTGGACCTAACCGGCGTGAAGGTGATGGCACTGTGCCCAAGTGCGACGGATAGTAAATTGTTAAAGGACGTCAGTAAACAGCTGCTCTGGTTGCGATACGAGGATGCCTGGCATTGTGACATAGCCAATTCCGTGCCACAAAGGTAGAAAAACGTCAAACGAACCGTAACACAACTCTATCTGCAGTTCTGGGGTAGTGGAGGCAGTTACTGTGGGGTAGCCAATTACTGTGCCTTTTATTTATTTTCAAGCATAATGAACTTTATATTTAGAGAGCACATGATACTCTCTAACGTGAACTTTTAAACGACTTATTATTATATTAAATTCTTTTCATAGAATATGTATAGAATATGTATATGGAGTGTTCAAAAAATGTCTCACAATCCGAAAGTAGGGGATTCCTAGGATCATTTGAGGCAACTTTTTCCTTAGCGAAAATGCAATCCGCGGCTTCGTTTACGAGTTATTAACGAAAAACAGAGACCAATCAGAGGCGAGATCATTTGACGCGAGACGGCCGAGCCAATGAGCGGAACTGGGCTCCGTGCACTTGTTGGCTGGGCCGCCGCGCGCCAGCCGAGCTCGCCTCTTATTGGTCAGTGTTTTTCGTTAATAACTCGTAAACGAAGCCTCGGAGAAAATTTTCGCAAAGAAAAAAGTTGCTTCAAATGACCTCAGGAATCTCCCATTTCCGGATTGCGAGACATTTTCGGGACATCCTGTATATATTATAGAATATATTTTCGAGGATATGATAAATATTCAATTTTGATTGCGTCCAGTTACCGAGGCTCAGTATCGAGGGAGGGAGCACAGTAATTATCTTTAAGCCCTTAAAAAATGTCATTTAAATTGCTGAAGATGTAGCGAAAACTCCTGAAAGCTGCTAACTGGCTACAGTAATTGACTCCTCTGCCCTACCTAAACTTTTTACACGCCTGTTAAAACCACTCGATTCTCGCACTGGAAACTCTAAACAAAAATCAAGCTATCAGTTCCGTCTTATCGAACCGATTTAACGAAGGAAACATTGAAAAGCTGCGTTTAATTGGATTAAAAATCCGTGGGTCAAAAATTCATTTTTGAATCGAGACCTATTTTACATTTTCATACATGAATGCAAGAGAACAATAATCAGAAGGTACTGATTCGTTAAATAGAAGTCAGTTGTGGCCACGTCGTTCAATTTGTAGTATTCCTGTAAAATTTCATCTACCATGATCTTTATATGATTTATAATATGAATACGTTGTGAGTGCAAGTAATATCATACGAATGTTCATAGAAATATAATATAAACTCGTAAGAATAATATGAAAAGTAGACATTTCTTCTAATATATTTGTTCATTTTAGTATGCACTGCAAGGGTTCATATTAATTCTATCACGCAAAAATCAAAAGAAGGTACAAACGGTGTCAGTCATATCTAATTTAAATGCGAACAATTATTATGTTATTATGTTAACACCCGAAAAGGGATAATTCCTAAGATCATTTGACGTAACTTTTTCATTAGTGAAAATGCACTCCAGCTTTGTTTACGAGTTACTAACGAAAAGCACTAATCAATGACAGACGAGAAATTCTGGTGCGAAGCAGCCGATCCAACGAGCGGAATTAGCCAATCACTGGGCTTCGTCCGCTCATTGGCTCGGGCGCCTCGCGTCGCATATCTCGCTTGTCATTGGTCAGCGTTTTTCGTTAATAACTCGTAAACAAAGCCGCGGATTACATTTTCGCTAAGGAAATAGTTACTTCAAACGACCTCCGGAATCATCCCTTTCGGGGTGTTAACATAATTATGGAATACCCTGTACACGTTTCCTTGTATTTTAAATATACAAAGCGTACAATTGTCAAGTTCCATATTTTCCAGATTCGTTTACGATTAATTAATGATTAATAATTTTTAGTGCAAAGTTCGTTAACCTCCGCTATAATTCCAGGGTGGAGCATGTGGCAAAAGCGTTGGTGCACGTGCTGACAACCGGCAAAAGCGGCAGCGTCTGGCTGGTCGAGGAGGACCAGCCGCCGCACGAGCTCACCTTCACGAAGATCTAAGGAATCGACGTGGCTCCACCCTCGCTTGAATACAAATAATCATGCCGTACCATAACTGCGAATGTACCTTCATTATACTACCGGAACTAAGCCGAATCTGCTGCGAGGAAACGGGGCGTCCAGCAGTGGACCAACGAGGCCCCGAGAACGGAGCGTCGCGTCTCTCGCGCCATACCAAAGAGCAAAAAACGGCGCAGAATTTTGTACACTTGGCGAGAACACATTTTTTGTACATTGTTATGCGTTCCGTATTACACTTAAGTAGATGTTAAAGACCTAGCTTTTAATTCCGACGAAGCAATCCTCGAAGATGATCCTCGGATCTTCGACCGGCTCCAATCTTTCCTCTTGGAGTCGCCGAGTTCGATAGAAGTAGACAAATCTAGGGAAAGGAGATCTTCTGGCGAAGCCAGGCTGTGGTTGCCGTGGATGTCCAAATCGTTCACTGGACGATCGCGAGAAGCTGCTTGTGCAGCAGCGCGATCCGATGAGCTGTACGTAAACGCAAAACGGCTGCGGATGTTTTATGCATTTACGAAAATGTGCCAGGAAGAATTGTAGACATCGCTATTTAAGATTGCACTTACTAAAATTCTCGTAGACAAGGGCGCGCTTCTTCTATGCCACTCTATGCAAATTTCTCCAGGATAAAATTCAGTCGTTTAGTCGTCGAGCGAACGGAGAGAAGAAGCAAGTAAACTGGATGTTTACTTCAAGATTAAGATTCAAAGAATTTCGCGCATTGTCTGACAAATTCAATGGGTGCTTTGGAACGACAACGTGCACAATTCGCGTGCGATTTAATTCGAGAAAAGTAATCCACGGTCGCCGCAGCCTAAGCAACACCGATCGAAGCGGAAGAGAAGCGTTTCGTAAGCGAAAGGAACACGCGTTTTTGGACCATCAACAACTGCTGTGCCGTTAAGACTCAATATCACGTAGATTAGCACTCGTATTGCATTCACCACAGGACTAATATGTACACATTCTGTCGGCCATTTCGAAAAATTTCGTTTCACCACGAATGACATAGCACCCGACTTCTCGTAGTTCGACCGCGGTTTTGTAAATCGTCGCGTTGCGAACAACATTCAATTATCGAAGATTCTTTTGGTCCGCGTGAATCTCGTCGATCGACTAGAAATGAAGAACATGAAACCACCGCTTCCGTTCATCTAAATCCACCCATCCACGCGCTCGTTAAGTATTATTGAATCAACGAAACGAGAGGATAGATAACAAATAATCGAGGGAGACGAGTCCAAAACATTGTCCACGATTACACAACACAATCGCGCTCGTAATTTTTATACGAACTTTTAGACGGGGATTCGACCAATGGAAGAGAGCGAGAGAGAGAGGGAGGGAGAGAGAGGGAGAGAGAGAGTGAGAAAGAGAGAGAGAGAGAGAGAGAGAGAGAGTGAGAGAGGAAACGAATAAACGTAGGTTTAGATATACAGAATCGAGGCCTAAGCCCGGTGTATTCGACGCACAAATGCAGGCATGATATATTTTAATCGTCCAATATTGTCGGTCGGCCGCCCGGTCTCTCTGGTCGCGATCTCGCGATCAAGATTCGATCGAGATCCACGATCGAGGTCGCGACTGGAGAGAGATCCCGCGGGAAACTCGAAATCGAAGGGCAATCGCACATTCGAATATAACATTACGTAATCTTAATCGACGCCACGGTCGGTAGCTAGTGGAAATTGTTGGTTTTGTTATGATTTGCTCGGAATGTATGTTGCAAGCCTAGTCAATAAAGTGCATAGCTTTTTAAAAAAAAAAGAACTTCGAACACGCTATTCTTGGAACCCGCAATAATAGCAATAAAATATAGTTTCGCAACACTTCAGCCGGATTTTTTCATTTATCATCCCCCACCCCCGCTGAAATTCAGCACTGAAACATTCGTCCGATGATTATTCGACTGCGGATTTTATATTGTTGCATTCGAAGAATTTGAGACCGGCTACTAAATTTTTCACGAAATTGAATCAATTTATCCCTTTGCCTTACTTTGACGATTCCGACTCGTCATCGAAATTTTTAGTAATAATAATATTCTGTCCTTTAAAATTGGAATAAAATTAATAATCTCTTGTCATCAATATTCAAGCATTCAAGTAAATTTAGGCACGCAATAAGCATCAATTTTCTTTCCCTTCTAAGAAATTATTGCAATCGAAAAGTTTCTAATAGCAGTAACTGCGAAGAAAATGGTACGCCAAGAGATTATTTAATGAAACTGAAACACGAAAACGAAAATTGATCATAGCGGACGGTGTTTCAACTCTTTAGCATTCTAATTATGCTAGTAAAATTCAATTTGTTCGAACACACCACAATAAAAACGAGTTTCGAAGACTAATCAAAAATTAGTGTCACCCATATGCGACCGTCGAAGCACTCAACGTGTTAAAGGTATTACGTATAATTGCATATAAATAAATATATAAATAAATTACACATAATTTTCATTCTTCACAAAAATCCGCAGTTTAGCGATTGCCGTTTTCGTAACATAGATGACGATAAAATCTGATGATGAATATTACGATGCAGCGTTAAGTTGCAAACAATATTTAAACAGAAACGATGCAAGCAATAATTACCATCACGTAAGTAAAATTCTGTAATCGTGGATCGTTCGAATCGCAAAACAAAAGTCATCATGTGACTGCAGAGCGACGAGCACAAATTGATTTCTCCTGATTCGGACTCGAGCATCGAAATTCCCCGTCCGGCGTTGCATTCGTCCGATATGTCTGCTTGATCGGAACGTTTTCGTCAACGTCGGATCTATTACACGATCGCTGAAAAATCGTTTCCAACATGTTAACACGATACGTAACCTCGTTCGTCTCCAACCTTCTCGTCAGAAGTCCAAGGTGAGCTACTCGAACGCGACACTTTCTCTCGTATCAGTCTAGGCAACGCCTTGTTTGGAGCCTATTTTGTTTCCCATTACCTTCGATAAATAAAAACCGGATCCGTTGCATTCCCGTAGAATTTTACGGGAAATCGAGCTCCGCCAGTTTCATGACACGACGGTGGCGCGGCAGAAGAAAAAGAAGAGCGGCGGTTGGTTTTCGAGGAGTAAAAAGCCGGAAGGGCCGAAAATAATCAAGCCTTATGATTGGTAACTGTATCCTTGAAAATAGGATAGAGAGCGATTCAGGATAACCGAACATCTTTCCGAACGAGTCGCGATTCGTTATCTTCGATTTATGTTGCGCACTTTGAATTTGACGAATTTCTACGAGAACATAATATCTTAATGATCTTTTATTTCACGATCGCAGCGCTGACTCACCGAAACCGATTACCGATCCTCGGTGCAAAGTCGCGGTTGTGGTTGGCGGCGCCGATGGTTTCGGTTACGCTGCGGCCGATCATCTTTTATGCAGAGGCGCACGAGTTAGCATTTTTCGTTTTACATAGTTTTCTGGATGAACAACCTCGCTCGTGTCGCGTTTAAGTGAACAGAAATCGTTTCCCGCCGAAATACACCGACGTGCAAAGGGATCGCAAATTCGTTGATCATCAGTATTCAAGTTTCGCTAGAACTTCGCGAAACAAGATCGTAGGACGATGCATCCGGATTCGTATTGAAACCTGATAGCCTCGACTTTTACAATCCCGAGCTTATCTTCTTATAGAGAATATAATCGTATTTAGTTAGTTAGCAGGAAAGTGAAGATACTGTTGAATAGAATCAAATGATTCTGCGAACATAGAACGAAGCTTTTTCAGACTGAAATCTTTATGGAGTTTGAAGATTGAAGCTTCTCTTTTGCAATGACCTCTCAAAATTTAAGGTACAATTTTTGTTCTCGTCCTTTTTGCTGCACTTTAAATATACAGTGAATATGTTAAGTCTTTTTTCACAGGAAAACGTATCTTTGCTTTCTGCTTTCTACACGAGATAAACAAGTTTTCAGAGAAAAATGAAACGAAAATACGAAAGCGATTTGACGATTTAGTAAATAGATCGTTGCACGATCTTCCTTCGCGAAGTCTTCACAGTCTAAATGTTCGCAATTTAATGGCAATTCAACTTTGCATGCCGGCGTAATCGCGTGCAAGATTCATAATCAAGTCATTGAAACACCGCAGAGTGTCGTGATAACGGACAATGATGTCGACGAAGGCAATTTCGCGGCGCAGAGGCTCTGCGAATCTTATGGAAAAGATCGAGTACAGTTTATGGAGTGTCACATTCAAAGTCCCTGCCAATTCGAAGGTTTGACAGATTCTGTAATCTCTATATCTATTAAACGTTTAATAGATAAAAAAAAAGTGATCTCAGACATAAGCAGCAGAATTACGTTCAAAGCAATTAACAATTTTGCAGCAACATTGAGTCAGGCGCGTGTCAGATACAAAGATATAAACATTATTTTCAACGATCTCGATAAAGATTGGCCTCTGACATCGAACGATGCGGGAAAGGAGGAGGTGCGTAACAGGTCATTAGACTTCAGTAACGAGAATACTTTCGATATCTTTCAGGGAAACGGGAATTCGAAAAACAATAGAAAACACGAAGGAACGTTAACTTGTCAGGCGAACGGCGGAAAATTAGCGACGTATTAATTTATCACGGCGATAAATGATTTTCAGAACAACACAGCCAAGATGATGCGAGTGGAGATGAAAATTCTGCGGAAGGAAGGCGGCGGTTCCGGCGGAGTGATCGTGAACTGCGCGAGCATTTTTGGGTTCATGGGGTGGCCCGAGGACCCATATCCCATTTATTGCAGAAAGGAACCCGTGATCGAAGTGATGAAAGACTTCGTGGTACATTTAATAAAATAATTGCATTTGCCATGTTCTCGTCGCAAACAATTCTCCGCCGTAAGAGTATCTTTAATGGCCACGACATTTATTTCTCTCTGCTCGCCTGTTTATTTTTCTGATCACGCAGAAAGATACCGAGATGGATCAGACTGGAATACGTCTGGTAACTCTGTGCCCATCGACCAAATACTTCAGCGAAATAGGGTTGCCATATTTCCCGGAAACCATCCCTAACAATCGAATCCCCGGTGTGCCACCTTGCATACCGACCACGTGAGTAGATATCGACGACAGACAAGTATCATTCGCAGACGTGTGAAGTTTTAAAAACGAAAATCGTGGACAGGAAACGTCAAATAGGCCCAGCGTTGAGCTATGTGCTAGCGTGGGCGCAAAATGACAGCGTCTGGCTAGTAGAACCAGCGAGCAGCGTCCACGAAAATCCTCGATTGATTCATTTTCCGGCGAAGGAAGGCGAGAAAATCGATCCAACAATTTACGAGAAATCGGTAAAGTTCATTCCTATTTCGAATAGCAATAAATTTGATCGATTTGAGATCGTACATCGAAGATACAAGTCTCTAACTTGAACGATATCGATGAAATTCGCTCGAAATTTTCGCTATTATTTTAACACTGAATTGATCGAGTTACAACATAGATCGTCTTGTAATAAATACAAGCATATTTCTATTGGATTATATGGATAATTTATAAATTGCAGCCTTGCGGTAAGCTCACGCCACCGCCATGTGTTGAATTCTCCAAAATCGATCGGTCGAAAGCTTGCCCCAAAATAACAACGATCTGCAAAAAATAAGTTTCATAAAAGAAATAAATCTTTCTCAGCGAAAGCTATGTACGCGTGAGGGTCGAATGTATCGTTATAAAAATTGATATAAATAAATTCGGTATATTCGATAAAATGATTTGTCCATTTTATTAACTGCTGTAATTTAATTTAATTTGAAAATACCAGATCACTAACATCTGTTACAGCACCATCTTAATGATTTATTAACCATCTTGTATTACTCGAAAATAATGATTAAATATGATGATTATGTATAAAATTCATTTAATATTAATAATAAATTAAACTGCTACGAAAGTGAGGTTACATAGAAAAAAAATTTTGGAAGACCGGGATTTTGCAAGGTAAAGGAGAAAAAAAGAAGCGTTTCGTCCCGAATCTGCTAGCGGACTCGTCAGTAAGGCAACTTAGCAGACTCTGCCTTGTACGCAGGCTATGTCATAGGCGGAAAACGCTCAATATAGCGATCTATAAGATTGCCCCTTTAGACAGGTGAATCGGAATTTTGATGTTCCTATTCACCCGCTATTGTGCGCTAGACACATACCCTCCTCCCTCGGGGGGTGCCACGCAAAATCGCAATCCACTCTGAGAACAGAACAGGGAGATTGTGGTTCATTCCTCCCCCTAAGGGGGTAAGGGTGGGGGAACAGAAAGCCCACCCATGTTTCGTCCTGGAATCTGCTGGAGGACTCGTCAGCAAGGCTACCCAGCAGACCCTGCCTTAGACACGGGCTTGGTTCCTTGTGCGAAGAAGTGGTATATATACTAATCGACCACGCACGAAGACTTGCGAGAATAAGATCAAGTAATCGGCCCTCTGGTAGCTGTAGGCCAGTTAGGTACAGAGTGGATTTTTCAGACCGGTCGGCTCATCGTTAGACATTTATGGTAACTTCGCGAAGTGGTATTACACACAGCTACAACAGATTTGAGATCCCTCAAGAATCCTAAGTCTGTGCTTGTGCTCCAATAATAAAATTAAACGTTTGTAGAAAAAATAAAGTATATACGATATTCGGTGTCAGCTAACACGCCCATATTCGCCAGTTGTTGATAACAGTGGCAACGATATCGAGACCCTTACCTTATGGTCTCAAATACCTCAAACAGAGAAACCATAAGACGTGTGCCGTCTGGGATCGCATGCAGTGATGGGCACTATTGCAATAAAATGTTATCCGAATAATTATTCAAATAAAATTTTTATTTTATTTATAAATACAGGGTGTCCCAAAAATGTCTCGCATTACGGAAATGCAGGGTAGCTGAGATCATTCTAAGTAAGTTCTTTCTTTGCGAAAATGCAATCTGCGGCTTTGTTTACGAGTTATTAACGAAAAACGCCGACCAATGAGAGGCGATGGCGCGAACCACAACGTGGTCAATCGATCGAGTGCCATGTGCTCCTGCCACTGAGTTTGACAGCTGAAGGAGGACTCTGTGCCTTGTTCAAATCAATGAACAAGTCACGGAGCATGAACTTTCGATACCTTTTTTTTTACCACGTGGCAGTGATAATTTTAAGAAAAACGCTGTTCATCCTTATTTCAGAATGTCTGAAGAATATTTACTAATTTTTCGGCCCCGAAATAATAAGTACGACAGCTGTTTTAATTTTCTGGTGTGCATGACACCTCATGTGTGCCATATGAAATTTTTATGCAAGGTGTACGGTGAAGATTAACAAAGTTTGTAAATGATATTTTAATTTAAATAATTCCGTGTCCGAACAGAACTCAACGAATGATTCGCAAAGCTGATTTAATAATAAATAATCGCGTTAAGGGACGTAAAGGATTTGTTTATTAGAGAAATATGAAAAATATTATCGATAAGAAACTCACCCATTTAGTTGAGGATGCATTTGCTGACTCGTACACACTGACCTCGTACAACGTACAGCTGATCTCAGGTCGATGACCGCAACATTCGAGGGATACTCTCAGAGGAACCTCTGGTATGGTTATTTACGAAGTTCATTTACACTGCAGTCACCGAACACTGCTCACTTAATTAATCACTGATAATTCCAATCACTTGTGGATATTACGAAAGATCACTGAGACTCGTTTGCGGATAATCGTTTATTCGACGCGTTTGTTCTGTAGTCGACGTTTCACTGCCGAAAAATCCAGGCCTCGGCCGTGTATCCTTGTCGATCATCGTTCGACCGTCCGAGAAAAAGACACCCGATACCATTTTCCTCGAACGGCCGATAATTACGTTCTAAGAGATATGCAAGATATGCAGAGACGTAAACTGCGACCGACTCGCTGTCACCGACGGTATCATCCGTTATCCGTTACCCGTTACCCGTCATCCCTTATCCGTTACCCCGTTACGGGGGAACTGGTAACGGAGTAACGGAGTAACGGATGACGGGTAACGGGCAACGGATAACAGGGAAAGGGTAACAGCGAACGGGTCACTGGTAAAGGGGTAACGGGTAAGGAAGGAACGGGTAACGGATAACGGATGACTGGTAACGGGGTAACGGGTAAGGGAAGAACGGGTAACGGATGACTGGTAACGGGGTAAGGGATAACGGTTGACTGGTAACGGGTCACTGGTAACGGGTAAGGGAAGAACGGGGATGTCCTACAATTTTTATTTCAAAATGCAGCTGAATAAATATTTATCGACTGCTCGCAGTAGCATATTTATAATTTGAACTATTGTCATATAAAGAATCTATAATTCTTCGTTTCGACTGAATTCGTAGCTCTAGTGTTAAAATGGAGGAGAAATGGCGGAAGGGAGAAACGTGATTATCGCAAATACAAGATTATGTGGGCGATTAAATTGTTTACGAGCTTACTGTTCCGTAATTTGTTGCAGCAGAACATTTTGGGATAGATTCGTTTATAAATAAGAAAAGCGTAAGTGAGAGCGTAATTCTGGAACTTCTGGAACTTTCCTGGAAATTCTGGAACTTCTGGAACTTTTTTGGAAATTCTGGAACTACTGGAACTTCTGGAAATTCTGAAACCTTTCTAGAACCTTTCTGGAACTTTTCTGGAACCTTTCTTGAAATTTTTGTAACGTCTTCAAAATGACAGAATTTTAAGTTCCTGATCTGTGTATTTAAAGTATTTTAGTAAATGCTATATCATATTGTTAAATTCATCCAATTGTCACACTATAACCTTATGAAACACGATATGATTTCAATATTTATATATATATATATATACTTTTATTCTCCAAAAGCGAATGGCAAAGACAAGCAAGAACAGGAAGTTCCACTGATCAGGATAAATAATTCTTATTTTGACAATTTCAAAGGAAGAGTAAAACTTAAATTCATTTTTATTGCTTAAGACCTTAGTATCAGTTTTAGTAGAATCGTTCCTATTGTTCATCGTATTGGTTCCAGAAATTCATTTCCTACTTACGCGATAAAAGAGGATCTTCGAAGAAACCAAAAATAAGTGAACGAAGTTAAAGGTGGGGGTGGGCTCCACAGCATTCAATGCGTCAAAATAAACGCAGGCAGAAGATTTCAATATTTCCTTACACATAATTATGCTAGTTTAAAAATCGACATTTTTTCACGATTCAGTGTTTCTTTAAGCGTGTTTCTTCAAGTGTTTCGTTAGCATGCCAAGGACTAAAGATGACTAACGAGTTTGAAGAATGACAAAACTGAATTCATTTAATCCGTTCATCACGTTTATTGCGTATATATCCAATCATCTCCTACGAAAGAATCCTTTTAACTTCAATTTTCAAAATAAATATTTAAATGAAAAATGCAGGACCATTCGTTTTGTCCAACACTGGTCGTCGTGTGGACTGTTCGCGCAGAGAAATTCGTGAGAAGTGGCCCGTTGAGAGGAACAAAACGAGACCTGTAAATGTACGTAGCTTAAAGAACGTGCGCAGAAAATTTCTGTCAACAGCGCGAAGGAATCCTTTCGACCTCCGGAACATCCGAGTGTCGCATCGACGGCGCGTGTTCAATCGATTCGCTCGATTTCCAATCCGAGCGCATCGAGATTTGAAACGCGCACCGGTAACTCAATAAATCGACAGAAATAAACGGCCTCCCGGAGCGTGTTGCAGCTACCTCGTGCCCGAATTTTTTCGCGAACCCGATCCTGTTTACCCACGGATCCGCGGTCACATTATCCGTCAGATATCCGCGAGACATTCAATCCCGTACGACTGATTCTCGATTTCTCGGGTTTCATCGGCGACCGGGGCCACCGTGATCCTCGCTCTAGGAATATATTCGCGAACGAGCCTCCCGCGAGAACGGTCGCGAAAGTCGCTACAAATCCACGTTTCTCTCCGACGGGCATTATCCTGATTTCCGTCGATCAGTCATGTCGAATATCGAGGGTAAAGTCGCGCTCATCACCGGCGGAGCGAACGGGATCGGCTTCTCCACGGCTCGCAAACTCCTTCGAAACGGAGCGAAGGTACCAACAATCCCTTGAACACTCATACGCCAGACCTTCTCTGACGAACTTTTCAATCGTTTACAATTTTATTTACTGACTTTATCCAACACATTTTTTAATGTAAGGGTGACTGGTATCGAAAGTAGCAATTTAACTTTGGACTAACAGCATATAAGTACTATTACGTTTACAGGAAAAAGTTTTATGTAGAAATGTTATCTCAATATCTGACATTGTTTTTAACCATGGTATTTTCCATTTGCAACAAATAATGTTTACGTTATCAAGAAAAAATGAAGACCGTGTTATAGTAACATATTTACACAATATTCTTCTTAAATCAAATTATTTATTAAACTCTATTGCAAATAATAAGTGAAATAACCACGTTTACATAATAAAAATGAATGCATATCTTCGTAACTGCGACAAACAATATGTTTGACGCGTTCGTCTTTGTAATGGCAGTAATAGCAAATGCAGTAGCAATTTGAATAGAAACGTGCATTAAACTGACTTAACTATGTTTATGTACACTACAAGGTTCTGAATGACGTCGATTTATTGATGAGGAATATGTTAATGACTGATGTAACAGAACAGGAATAAAATATCAAGAAAAAGAAACGCAGTAGACAACATCATCGCAATAGAAATTAAATTAATTTTGATGATTTTAAAGGAACATTGACTGGCATCTATTAAAGTATAATTTCCATTTCCCAACACAATAGCATTTCGCTAGGATTATTTATAACATTGAAGAAAGCGTGATATAGTTATAAACAGCGTAAACTGTGAAAGCATAATTTCGTTATTGAGTCTAGATATGTAGTATGAAAGTGAGAATGCCGGAGAGGCGCTATCTTCGACGATTAAAAGCTTTTAATATGTAATCAATTATGTTTTCAGGCGGTGGCTCTGTTGGATCTGAGCGATTCAGGTGGCGAAAGCGCGGCCGCCGATCTAAACAATGAGTTCGTGAAAGATTGTGCGATTTTCGTCGCCTGCGACGTCTCCAAGAGCGATGAACTCAAAGGTATTTATAGTTCTATTGTATCGTGAAAAGGCAATTCGCGAAATTTCTCGTTTTATTTGATCTTCGACTGAATCCGTATTTTTCGCGAAGTCGTGCGTGCACATTGGCGTGGTTCGATTTTCTATATAGTTCGCAGTCTTCCTAAATTATGATACTTGCTGAGAAAATTGTGTGTGTAAAATTCGGAAGCATTCTGCATCTGTATTTAATGAAAAATCAAACTTACAAATTTTGCATATACAATATTTTTGGAAGCAACGCGTACATCTCATTATTATTCATCTAACAAATTGTCGTTTAGTTAAGAAAAGAAATTTAATAAAATGATTAAAATGTTTAAAAGATTGCTTCCCGCAAATACCACTTTCTTACTGTGAGTGTTACAAAGTAGAGTGGTAAGACCAAAAACAATGTTTGACCCTTATAACTAAGAAGCCATAAACGTTTTGACGATTAGGTTGTGGCCGGTGTATGTCGCGTAATTTTTTAATAATGTTTTAAATAGTAGGTACAGTAAATTTTTCCTAATAAGTTCTCCTAATTTACGCTCAGATTGTACATAAAAATGGACAATTTGAGAAGAGGAGATATTATAGAGATAGAGGAGATAGATTATTCGAACCTTGCGACTCGTTTTTATAGTTACCGATCGCCAACAATTATAAAAACGAGCCGCAGGGCTCGAATAATCGTATCTCCTCTTCCCAAATTGTCCACTTTTGTGCACAATCTGAGCGTCAATTGGGGAAAATTTACTGTTAGATCCGCGAGCAACGTAAACAACTATTTTTAACGATTGCGAGAATAAACATAGTTAACAGATTATTTACTAGCGCAAGTTATCTTACTCCACTGAAATGGAGTTTTAGTTACTCGTGATAGGAGCATGGTGCGATAACACATCGCGATAGGTCCCATAAAAACAGAAAGAAATGATATCGACGTTGGGAGAAACATATTACATTATTTTTACGATTCATCGTGTTTCGTAATTGGTGCGATCTTTTTAGCTGTCACGAAATATTTTGTTTCTCGCAGAGGCGTTCAAGAAAGTGATCGAGGCATACGAGACTTTAGACATCGTCGCAAACATTGCAGGCATTATGGATGACGCAGATTGGGAGATTATGGTCGATGTTAATTACGTAAGCTTTACCTCCTCATAATCAGCATCGTCGTGTAATATGACAGCACTAAATGACTGTAAACAAGAAAGACATCCGAAGATAGTGTCTCGTATCTTGACTTTTATCTTTTCTCTTTTATGAAATAAAAAAAGATACATAATTCGACGTGATTTGTTTGTCTCGAACAGAAAGGGGTCGTGCACAGCACTGTCTTGGCCTTGCACACCATGGGCAAGTACAAGGGTGGCAATGGCGGCATCATAGTGAACATGTCCTCCGTGGCTGGACTCGATGGGATCCCAATTGCGCCGATCTATGGTGGAACGCAATACGCGATCGTCGGATTCACTCAATCATTGGCGGTGCGAATTAATAGTCCGATAAACAAATTGCTCCGAGACAACAAATAAATTTGTACCTTATTAAGTACATTTAGTATTTTACTATCGCTACGATCGCGAGATGAAAGCCTAGATTATCAAAATTGATAATCATTATTATCAAATCATTTGAATAACTATCGCATCAAAATACTGCGGATCTTCGCAAATTTATGGCATCTCATACATAACACATTTGTATTGCTAGAAAGCATCACATTTTTAGCTTAGCTTTATTACAATGAATCTCCTGATCAACGATAAAGATTTGTTTCTTAATTTTCTGAGAAGTGGCCTAATGGGTTAAGAAAAAGTACCTAAAAAATTTGTCCGGAAAAATTGATCGATGAAGTTATGAATGTTACCAAGCAACGCCAATTGTACAGTTCTAAGAATATCTGCCAAATTTTGCCAATGTAGGGAAAACGTTAAAAATATTATTGTGTTTAAGCGTTAGACGCTGATCCGACAATTTCATTTGATATATTTTATAATATTCGACAGCACTATTACGATAAGACTGGTATACGCATGCTGACGATATGCCCCGGACTCACGACCACGGCTATGGCGGCCAGATTTATGGCGACCAAAGAACATGCCATGGATCTTCTCGATGAAGAAACAGCGGCCTTAGCGATGGCGCACATGCAGAAACAACCGTAAGTAGAAAAAAAGATCTGATTCTTGTTATCCCAATCGAACAATGTAATTTATTACGTGTCACGGAGCTGGGTGAAATGTTTGTCTTTTTCGAAAGCAAACGAATACGATAAAGAAATTTTTATTCGAGCAGCATCATAGAATTTGAGATTCTGTTATCTGTTTAAAATATTGACAGAGCCTTGAATACGATCAATGTTGTTCAGAGTCTTTAATTTTACAGCTAACGTTCGCAGAATTAATTGATTACGGCCTCGATTTTTGTTTTAAAAAAGCGATGTATCTGGAATGCTTATTTCGAGTTGAATCTTTAATTTTCTATATTTAGATCTCCGAAGAGATGAGAGCCGCGTTTACAAGACATTTCAATCTCGCAGATGCTGACAGGGAAAATCGTATTTATTCCCTTGCACTATAATTTCTTTCACGGCTTCGTTGATTAGCACTCCTTTGTTATTAATAGATTGCTACACGAAAACAAGTTTTAATTTTTTCGTATGTCTAGATTAATTACAATTGCTAATTAACAGTAATAGGGACATTAAATTTCAAGTCGATGTCGAAGAAATGATTGACATCTGGTTTCGATAGATTATTTTCGAAATCTGCTTATGCAGAGTCATCTCTGACACGATGTACATAGTTAATGATGCCGTCATCGACGAATTTGTTGGCAGGCCGGAGCATGTGGCGAGCGCCATAATTCAATTAATCGAGAACGGGAAGAACGGCGCGATTTTCGTCAGCGAGAACAATCAACCCCCGTTCGCTGTCGAAGTGCCCAGTTACGCCACACTGAAGATCCCCGTTTAATTGTCAAAGGGAATTTTAAACTGTTCTTACACAATTAACACAATATTAGAAATTTTTGAGCACCGTTAATTCTCTTCACATTTTTCAACCTCAATTCGGCACGCAACGAATTCACGAACAATCCGAATCGTAACTAACAAACTATATATCATTCCGTATATTTTATCTGGCCGTAGTCAGTACTGCTCAATCATGAAAAACGAATTTCAAACATTTTGCAAAACCCTTGCAAAGGATACAATACATAATAAATAAAGGCGAAAGTAAAAACGATAAAGGCACGCTTTCTACTGATAATATTATGTAACATAAAGTTTTCGCGTTGTTATCGTTGAGACGTATAGAGTCGTATAATTTTTTAGAAGAAATTATCAATAGAGTTGGTCAAAAATTAAATCGAAGATTGACGATTAATTTGTGGCTCCCTTATCGGAGTATTTATTTTTACAATATTCTCTGATATCCAAACATTCTATTATCTAATCATTGTATTATTTACATACATTATCAACTAATATAAAACTTGTTGATAAAGTGAAATTTTTAAATAACAGAATGTTCTGGTATCAGAATATTACAGCAATAAAAACGTTCAGATAAGAGAGGCGCTCCTGTACTACTGTAAATGATTAACTGTTAATCGTACTTAGCGATTAAAATATTACTATTAGTCGTTAATCGCAGTCACCGATTAAATTTATTTCAATTGTTAACCACAATTAGCGACTAAACTAGAAAAATTGTTAATTGGTATTACTGGCCAACAGTTGTAATTCAATAGTTAATTGCGATGAAAGATTAAAGATTTCATTTGAATAGCGGAAAACGTAATTGATTAAATATTACATGCTGAATGCTCTTCAAATGTATTCGGTCATACTAATTATGTCATGATTGTATATCATTTAAATAAGAAAATGTCATTAATATATTATAACTTAAAAGTTTCTTAGCATAACGAGTAATAAAAAAGGTTGTACTGTTACATTTGCATTATTTCAATCATTGGCTTCACGCGTTCACGGATTAAAAGATATGTAAGTGTGCTATCTTGAATTTCTTCCTATGAAATTGTGGTAGATTAACATTCATGAATACAGTAAATTCTCCCTAATTGACGTTCAGATTATATAAAAAAGTGGACAATTAGGAAAGAAGAGATACGATTATCCGAGCCTTGCGACTCGTTTTTATAGTTACCGTTTACCAACAACTATAAAAACGAGCCACGAGGCTCGAATAATCGTATTTCCTCCTCCCAAATTGTTCATTTTTCTGCACAATCTGAGGATCAATTAGGGAGAATTTACTGTACTGTGTAAACATTACGATGCGATACGGCAGCCATATTTAAACATAGTATACTTTCTCATATTTATATTTTTCCAAAAAATGATGCCTACACGTGTCTTCGATAAATATCGCGTGAAAAAATATGCACTCCACTATAAAACTATTTATAAGATCTGTGACTAGAAATCGAAGAAAACTCTGTTGGGAAATTTGATTTTCAGTCATTCATAAATGTTATTGATTACATCGTACAGGAGATTCTTAGACAATTCTAGAAACTACGCGAGGTTGCGATTCCTAGAACTTACTTAGACAAGAAATGAAAGCAAGTTGCTCCATTCGGCAAAAGTATAAAACAATTATGATCTTTTCACGAAAGCAGAAGATGAAGAGCAATTATTCTCGTGGTTCGTCTCTACGGTAAAAAAATTTATTCTATTAAGTAGAAAATAAAATGCCACGTGGAAGCAAGTAAAGTGAATCAGATAGAAAAGTGCAAAAAAGTGTTTTCATTGATGCAAGTGTTGCTTTATATAAAAACAGAGTCGTTGTGCAATGCATGAATATTTATGTTGAAAATTATTATGAAACAGTAAATGTTCCAGTTTTATCATAATAACCTCTTTATCATAACCTATGTTTGATCTCCGGATCTCAACAACATAGAATATTCGATGTTTCATACTTGCACAATACGTTTATGCAAATGGAAGGCAATTCAATAACACAGAAGAATTAAAAACTTCTATTTTAATTAAATGGAAATCATTAAATCAAAGTGTTAAACTATACAAATCACTATCAAAAGGACTGATAGAACTTGCAAGAAACAAAGATGATAGTGAAACACATTACTAATACGTAAACAAAAATTTCTCAGTTGCAGACATGATGGAAAACAAAGCCTGGAAAATAATATAATCCTGGAAAATTCCAGTTCGCAACACACAGGATGGCCAATTATTATGTCAGAATGAGATAAAACGTGTCGTCGATTATTTGTTGAAACCTTTGGTCGAAAGAGGCAAAAGAGTATTTAAAAATAAATATTTATCGTTCATTTCTCGTTTACTTTCTCGTACTTTCGACAGAAGGATTGAGAGATCCTGTTATCTCATAGCCTCTTCCTTTAAGAGAGATAAGAAACGGTAGCTTTTTATCGCGTTGTTTTACGTATGACATAATCTCCATCTTCCCAATTGGTTTATTTCCGATATGTATTCCCACAACTGATCTAAGACAGTACGGATCTCCTTTAAATTATCGTGGCCGCGGAGCGCAGCACTCACTTTTCGAGCTCACGTCGTACTGTGCGGATCTAGTTACAAGAGTTCGTCAGGACCACTTCACTAAACGGTGATTATTAATTCGATTTTAGTCTGTGTCTAATTGTAAGGTGTTTCATTTCCAAATATCTCCCGCGTTACGTTCTTCAAAATTCAATAACTAGACTGCGCATCTTTATGCAAAATATAAGTTCGCTGCATCTCTGTTGCAAAAAAGTTTCATTTCTTCTTTAAACATTTTGATTCGTCGAAAATATTATATCAACATTTTTAAATGATTTTAATATTTCTACTGTTGCAAATTTCTACAGGTACTCATTTTTTTTGTTCATAAATGCGTAAAGTCCGCAGTCTATTAATTACATTCTCGAAAATATTTGGAAGAATGTAAATGATTTTTTAACGCTTAACCTACCGAGCCGGTCAAAATGACTTGTTTCACTTTGTTTTAAAGTTGCTAGCATTATAAAGACACTTTCACAGAACATTGTTAAATTTGCTTAATCGAAACATACAATAGAAGGTGTCCCAAAAATGTCTCGCAATTCGGTAGTGAGGGGTTCCTAATGACATTTTAAGTAATTTTTTCTTTAGCAAAAAATGCAAGCCACGATTTTGTTTACGAGATATTTTAACGAAAAACGGTGACCAATAAGAAACGAGTTCGAAGCTCAGTTCCGCTCATTGGCTCGGCCGTCTGTTTTTTGTTAATAACTCGTAAACAAAGCCGCGGATTGCATTTTCGGTAAGGAGAAAGTTACTTCAAATGATCTCAGGAATCCTCATTTCCGGATTACGAGTCATTTTTTAGACATCCTGTAGAAGAGATAAAGAAATCGAATCATAAACCTGACAAATGAGAGAGCCACTACTAATACAGTAATGAACTTTCAAGTAGCAAAAATTATAAATCTAAACACAACACTGCGACAAAGCTATAAGACACTCCTGAATTTCTAGTATTTCTTAAAACCATAGATGTGTGCACAAAGTTTTTATATATGAGTATATGTATACACACACAGAGTACTCCTTCTCTCCTTCTTTTCGTTACTTTTTAATAATATATANTCCTGGAAAATTCCAGTTCGCAACACACAGGATGGCCAATTATTATGTCAGAATGAGATAAAACGTGTCGTCGATTATTTGTTGAAACCTTTGGTCGAAAGAGGCAAAAGAGTATTTAAAAATAAATATTTATCGTTCATTTCTCGTTTACTTTCTCGTACTTTCGACAGAAGGATTGAGAGATCCTGTTATCTCATAGCCTCTTCCTTTAAGAGAGATAAGAAACGGTAGCTTTTTATCGCGTTGTTTTACGTATGACATAATCTCCATCTTCCCAATTGGTTTATTTCCGATATGTATTCCCACAACTGATCTAAGACAGTACGGATCTCCTTTAAATTATCGTGGCCGCGGAGCGCAGCACTCACTTTTCGAGCTCACGTCGTACTGTGCGGATCTAGTTACAAGAGTTCGTCAGGACCACTTCACTAAACGGTGATTATTAATTCGATTTTAGTCTGTGTCTAATTGTAAGGTGTTTCATTTCCAAATATCTCCCGCGTTACGTTCTTCAAAATTCAATAACTAGACTGCGCATCTTTATGCAAAATATAAGTTCGCTGCATCTCTGTTGCAAAAAAGTTTCATTTCTTCTTTAAACATTTTGATTCGTCGAAAATATTATATCAACATTTTTAAATGATTTTAATATTTCTACTGTTGCAAATTTCTACAGGTACTCATTTTTTTTGTTCATAAATGCGTAAAGTCCGCAGTCTATTAATTACATTCTCGAAAATATTTGGAAGAATGTAAATGATTTTTTAACGCTTAACCTACCGAGCCGGTCAAAATGACTTGTTTCACTTTGTTTTAAAGTTGCTAGCATTATAAAGACACTTTCACAGAACATTGTTAAATTTGCTTAATCGAAACATACAATAGAAGGTGTCCCAAAAATGTCTCGCAATTCGGTAGTGAGGGGTTCCTAATGACATTTTAAGTAATTTTTTCTTTAGCAAAAAATGCAAGCCACGATTTTGTTTACGAGATATTTTAACGAAAAACGGTGACCAATAAGAAACGAGTTCGAAGCTCAGTTCCGCTCATTGGCTCGGCCGTCTGTTTTTTGTTAATAACTCGTAAACAAAGCCGCGGATTGCATTTTCGGTAAGGAGAAAGTTACTTCAAATGATCTCAGGAATCCTCATTTCCGGATTACGAGTCATTTTTTAGACATCCTGTAGAAGAGATAAAGAAATCGAATCATAAACCTGACAAATGAGAGAGCCACTACTAATACAGTAATGAACTTTCAAGTAGCAAAAATTATAAATCTAAACACAACACTGCGACAAAGCTATAAGACACTCCTGAATTTCTAGTATTTCTTAAAACCATAGATGTGTGCACAAAGTTTTTATATATGAGTATATGTATACACACACAGAGTACTCCTTCTCTCCTTCTTTTCGTTACTTTTTAATAATATATATTCCCACCCTTCTTTTTTATTACTTCCAACATTCTTTGCGGTAGAAATTTATACAGTTTTTTAATTGTGTTTAATTGTGTTATATAATACGCTTTTATAAGTCTTCTATGGTGTTAAATTGCTTTTCTCTTGAGTATACTTCCTTAATTAGCATTCCCAATTTTCAATAATATTTGAACCCGGCGATCTTACTAACCACTGTAAAATATCTATATTTTTATCTTCAAAATAAGCTCGCGTTATGCTTGCAGTATGCACAACTGCGTTATCATGTTGAAAGATATACTTTTGCTTAGCTATTTTTTGTGCATATTTCGATAGTTGCCTATTAACGATATTCATGAACATTCGACTATTCATTTTTGTAGAAACAAATTCAATATCCGTCTTTCCATAGCATCCCATAGCCGCCCACATGATAACCCACCGTCACCCATTTGCCACCTTTGCAACATGTGAGATTTCTTCTTTTCTCAAATCATGAAAATAATAATTTAGGCCATCAGGTCCATCTAAAATAAAACGCTTTTCGTCAGAAAAGATTTACGCCAATATATCCGATGCTCTGCAAATTCGAATCTGGCTTCTTTATGTTTGTCGGTTAGTGGCGATTGCTTCTTGATTTTAAGCCTTTTCAAATGCTTAGAACTCTTTATTATTCTGCGCACTGTCCTAATACTCGTGACCTCATTGGATTCCGCTGCTATTTCCTGTCATTGTAGAATTCGAAGCATGTCTTAAAATTTGTTGCCCTTCTCGCACAGTTCTCGATTTTGGACGATCACCGGGGTTCTTTTTAACATATTTTTCTTTATTTTTTAAATAGTTATGAACTGCACAACAACTTCTCCCTAATATATAGGCGATTTTTCGTACTGAATAATTTTCCTTCTTTAAATTGTTAATTGTATTGATCTCCGTATAATCGAAAACTATTGCACTCACAATATCACTTTAAATGCTGCACATCTAGTAACAACAATTGGAAACAAAAATCTCTTTTCGTATTGTTTAATTTGCCGGTTTACTGGAGACTGTCTTACAGTTCTGTGGCGGATCGAATAGCATGTTTACATTTTTTGCCACATTTTTCGAAACCACTGACTTACGTATTTCATACAACTAAGCGATATGCTCTTTTAGAGTGTAAAAATTAATACTACGAGTGAACGAAAAATAAATTTCTAAGTTACATAGAATTAGTTTTGTCGCGCAGTATAATATAAAGCAGCACACGTTAGTTATTTTTAGAGCTCGATAGGTTTAGTATTAAATTACAATTTGATAAATTATTGCTCGAATTGATTCGAAATGTTTAAGATTCAGAGCTCGTTGAGAAATTTTTAAAATGCGCATTCGCCGACTGTCGACGATTCTTCTCGAATTGAAAAATCATTGCGATACGATCATGTTAATTGATTTCAGACCATGGACCAAATCAAGAACATGAACGTTTTGATCACCGGAGCTGCTGGAGGTATTGGTCTCCGTTATGCACAGTACATGTTGAAAAGTGGAGCCAAGGTAACATCTTTCACATTTCAGCAACTTTTAAATCGGCGCGATAGTGATTAGTGAATTCAATGTAATAAAATTTTCTTCGCAATAGCACGAAATTGCAGTATCTGTTAAAGAGTATAAAAACATGATTCCTCGAAGTCTATGATTTTTCAAAATGTTTGTCAAATTTTCAGACTGTCGCCATCCTTGATCTGCCAACATCCGATGGCACGACAAAGGCTGCTAATTTGGAGAAAGAATTTGGAAAAGGCAAGGCCACCTTCTACCCGTGCGACGTGACCAACATTCAGCAATTCGAAGGTACCATTTCATTTGTTTAAATCAATGTGCACGCAATGCTCTGAGATAATTACCCGAATAATAACGGTGGAAATTTTAATGAAAGATACTGTTTTGTTGGAATACCACGGAAGAGTTAATAAAAATTACCAATTTAGAAAGATAAGATAAAGATATAAGATAAAGCTATTAGGTTTGTTGATTCAGGATTGAGTTACTATGGAAATGTGACTCATAGTCTCATCTCATAGTCCGAATGAGATTATTTTGACGGAAAATCTAATATTCGAATCAGGATAAACGAGTATGCAGATAACAGCATTCATTATTTCTGATAACAGAGACTTTCAAGAAGGCTGTGAACGCGATGAATGGTGTTGACATTGTTATTAACAACGCCGGTTTGCTCAATGACACAAACTGGGAGCTGACTATTCGTCTGAACGTTGTAAGTAAATTGTATTCCAATTCTGTTTAAAATGTATTCGTTCAAATATCTTATAAAAACAATCTCAGCGTCGTTTCGCTAAATGTTAAGCGAGATCCAAGAATCGATTTCGCTGAGGAATTCGCTTTGTAAAATTGCTGAAAGTGAAATTGACGAGGTATTATTGAAAATAACACTTGCTTCGAAAATCAAGCCAATTATTTCTCATCGCGTATCCTACACAAGTGACTCTTAGGTTTCGTGAGCTTCAGTCATTGACTCCGTTATTTTCAGCGGTCCGCAAAAAAATTAGAGTCGCCGTAGGTCAATCGCCAAAGCAGCGACTCGCGCATTCTTGTAGAAAGACGGACCCTAACTCCTTGTTACAATTAGTATTCGCTTTATTGTGAAATCGCGTGAGACCGTAAACACGTTTCAGTAACGATTGAGAATGTATTAAAAATTGTTTTTACAATCTTTTACAAATAACAAGGCTCAGAAATCTTTAAAGTGAAACGAAATCAGCACTATGTTTAACGTAATGATCGCACAAAACACAAGACGCATTATAATTCTTGCATATTTTGTTAATAAATACTATTACCGTGAAGTGGATTGGTAAAATTGTTCAATGTGGATTTCAGGGTGGCGTGATCCAAGGATCGCTCCTTGCCATGGAACACATGCGCAAAGATAAGGGCGGAAAAGGTGGTGTCATCGTGAACATTGGATCTATTGTCAGCCTCGACATTTTCAAAGAATTCCCAGTTTACTGTGCCAGCAAGCACGACGTGCTTGCATTCAGTCGTTGCCTGCAGGTAAATTAATTGAGAAGCTCGAGTATCTTTAGCTTTGATCGCTAGAACAGCTATTCGTTAACACTCGAACGGTAAAGCTTGGATACGTTTATAATCAAAGTTTAGAAATTATATTACTAGAATACCAAATTTTTAATTTCAATTTTCACATGTTTCATGAACACGTTAAGTGGTGAATATCAACTCCAAAAATTCCCACAATATCGAGGTCATTTAATCAACGAAACCGGAACTACAACAAAAAGTTAACAGTTACCATAAGAAATAGTATAACATTTCACTCTTTTGCATTTCAAACATTTTAGTAACAATCAGTTTCTCCAACATACATCGATAAATAAAGTTATAAATGCTCCTAAGTATGCTAAGTTATACGGCTCCGCCGTTCGAGTGCTAAACAAATGATCGAACATTTCTCTGACGACAATGGGAGCAGAGCTTCTTTCGAAAACAACAATTGCTCTTCTTTCAAATCCTCATTATAATTCTATTGTTTTAGAAAGCGTACACCAAAACCGGCGTTCGTGTCCTGGTGATGTGCCCCGGCGTCACAAACAGTAACTTGTTCGATACCATGCATGCGACAACGTTTGACTTCATTACTACCACGGAATTGAAGAATCTCATAGATGCCTTGCCTAAACAAGAGTGAGTAGCAATTTAAGACATTGACTGCTGCAGGAGAGAAAAATTGGGTAATCGAATTTAAACGAAACCACAGTTTACGAATATAACAATATATTTGTTGTAGCTTATGAGAATTTGGAAAATTGCGTTGATAGCAAAAGCGATTGACAAATACACGGGGTGTCCCATAGAACGTCCCTGTTACTCCCGGAAAGAGGTGATTCCTGAGATGATTCGGCGTTACGTTCTCCTTAGCGAAAATGTTCGTTGGTGTAATCGTTCTCTGATTGGACCGTGCTGTTCGTTAATAACTCATTAACGAAGAGAACGCAGAGGACATTTTCGCTACAGAAAAAGTGGCTTCAAATCGCCATAGGAATCGCCCCTTTCAAGCGATCCAAAACCTTTTGGGACACCCTGCGTACAACAAGTTTGTGGTACACTTTTGGATTCAGCAGTCAATGTTCTAAATACTTGCTAACGTTTCTAACATTTTTCTGATCATTTTTCTGTTCTTGTTTAGACCCGAAAACGTGGCGAAAGCAATGGTCTTGCTCATCCAGAAGGGCCAGAACGGATCTGTGTGGGTCAGCGAAGGAGGAGAACCACCATTCGGTGTCGAATTTCTTCCGTACAAGAAAGTAGAACTTAATTTGTAATAATAGATCTTCTTTATACCAAAGAAACACGAATTGTGATTATAAAGAACTGCCTAGAATAGGTATTTTCATGTCTTATAATAAAAAACTTTTTTAAGGAAAAACAGAGTTTTCTTTCGACCACACATTTTTCAATGACAGGGCATCTCCCTTTCTACTTTCCAATACCTATCCGTTTCATTGTTGAAAGTAATGTCTGTAGTTACAAAGAAGATGACCGACATGTTTTCACTTTCGTGATATTGTCGCTCAAAATTTTGATCGCTAATACTTCGTGTTAACTCTGATTAAATTGCATTAATCTTCGGAGCTGTTTCGAGCTGTTTTCATAATTTTTTTTCATGCGAACACGTAAATCCCATTGCACAGCTCATTTAACACATACACATAAATTTTAAGAAATTGTGACATGCGACGCTTTTCCTTGCCGCCACAGAATATTTCCCAGCATTTTTAGTCGCTTTAGACATTGTCTCGTTTACATCTAGATTTTTAAGAGTATATTTAGAATGTTTTAATTCTTCCCACACGACGTCGTCCATCTTACTCAGAAGCTCCCTCTTTCAAAAGAAGAAACGTGCTGCAAAATGGAAGAATATTATAAAAATAAAAAATTTGTAACAACTTTTCGGCTATTAAACCGTAATTATTTCCACCGACTACTTCCTTCCGTCTCCTCTGTTAATGAGCATGCTACCAACACCGAAATCACACATTCAAATTCCCCAAAATCGAAGAGTTGGCAACAGGAGATCGCGATCCGCGTTTCCGTTTCAGCGCGTGCGTCAAATCTGTTTGGAAAGATCAAGGGGCGAATTGTGTTGCAATGGAAGATCGAAGAAGATAGTAAACCGTTCTCCACGAATCCGGGATGACATGGCGAGCGAGAGGTCGAAGATCGTGATACGAAAGCAAGCAATTCTGCCATATCAACTGACAGAACGATCTGCAGAACCAGCGGCCGTCAGTGACGACCGAGACGTTGTTTAATTACATCGTGAGAATCGTTATATTTCTTGTAATCCGTCGAATTTCAGATCTCTGAGCGTGTTCATCGTAAATGGGCGAACTTAAACGACGAATGTCCTCCGAAGCTGATCCCAAAGAAGACTCGAACACAGTAAACTCTATCAAGTAGAATTTATTCTGAATTATTCGCCGAGTATCGTTGTTGCAAAGGTAAGAAACTATAGTAAATATTGTTCGAGGAATCGTGTAAATTTTTTTATAGATTCGCGGAAAAATCGGTTTTCGTTTAATACAGATACCGTGAATCAAAGAGTGAACAAACTAAATTGAAGTTTCGGTAGTTTTAAAGTTAGGATGTCGTTGAAATCGTCATGGTCGCTTCTTCGGAACCGTGTTTTCCATTTCAACGAATTAGTACGTTCAAACAATTCGTCTATTTCGCAGATTTCCGAGGAGTAAGGGAGAAAGAAACCGGAAACATGCAGATCAAGGATAAAAGAGCGATCGTAACAGGAGGTGCGAGTGGTCTGGGTATGATCGTTAGCAGGGAATTGCTGCGAAATGGCGTCTCCGTAAGTAATCATTGTTTTAACGATCATTGTGACATACGTGACAATCAGCAGGTTAATATTTCTGGGGTTTCAGGCAGTCGCGATGATCGACATTCGCGAAATGGCCGGGATTGAAGCGACGAATGCACTGAATGCGGAGTTCGGACGCAACCGTGCAATTTTCTTCCACTGTGATGTCACAAATAACTCCGAATTCGATAGTAATTATGAACGAGTCGCTTGCACACGAGCAGTAGTCGTTTGACTTTCGCAAATGAATTTACGAAAATTCTATGAACGAATTTACGAAAATTTTTTAAACGAGAGCGCGATATTTATGTTTGAGAGACAGAGTTTCGAAATTGCGATTCACGATTTACTTTCTTCTGTAACAGACACATTCAAGAAAGCTGTGACCGCGCTCGGCGGCCTGGAGATTTTAGTAAACAATGCTAGCGTGATTAACGAGAGCGACTTCTCGAAAGCCATTGACATAAACGTGGTAAGAAAGAGAACGATACCTTAGATAATTGTGTTATTGATCGGCACCCTCTGGCATTTTACTATCGCGAGGATTTTACATGCAACGAAATATAAAAACGTTTACGCTCTATCTGTAGACAGTTTAGTAGCAGACGTAACAAATCGTTCAAAAACTATAATAAGCTTATCCATAATCCATCAAATTATTAAGATTAGTATATAATGTAACAAGTTCTTTTGAAATTATTATCGAGTTAGTATATCCCTTTCTCGGGCATAATTAACTTTGTATTTATCGAATAAGATACATTAAATTTCTTTAGTTTCATTTCGTTTTTTTTTAATACAAAAATTCAGTACGTCTTATTCGATAAATTAACTATGCTATTATACAAACAATATTCATATAATAAGCAAATCTCCAAAAATAAAGAGCTCAATTTCATCTGGAGCGTAAACATTAGTTCAGTTTCATGCATTTTCATGCATTCGTAAGTGCATAACGAGATACTGTAATACTCAGACATTGATTAGAAAGTATTTTCGTAGATTGTACGTCGACGCTACGTCACCATGGTTTGTTCTAACGAGGTCAATTCATTGCAGACAGCTGTGATACGCGGTACGCTTCTAGGAATACAACAAATGCAAAAGGACGCCGGCGGCAGGGGTGGTGTTATCGTAAATATTTCGTCTCTGGCGGGTCTGGACTCATTAACGCAACTGCCAGTATATTCTGCAACGAAACACGCAGTGGTCAGCTTCAGTCGTTCTTTTGCAGTAAGTGTAATCATTCCTTTGAGACACAGTCTACCTTTTATTTTTAGTATAGCTCGCTTTATATTCCTATTTGATATTCAAATTGGTAAATAACAACTGAATGTATTTGTGTGTTAGCAACCTTATCACTATAAAAGGACGGGGGTGAGGATAATAGTACTGTGTCGCGATTTCGCGCAATCCTCGGATGACCTACCAGAAGGACACCGATATCAGTCACACAAGTAAGTAATGCAGATATGTATTAACACACCTTACAGATATACTTCTTCAAAAGTAACAATTGTCTCTTCTTCAACATTTCATTGTGCTTTCTATAATTGTATCTGATCTTTGCATTAGCATCACAATTTCACATATTTTTCTAAGACAATTCTTCTATTTTATGTATTAAAAATTAAAACAGAAACGAGCATGTCAATCATAAAACACACAGTGGAGCATTTAAGAAAATTTAAGGATACTGTTGTTTAGTGCTCATGTTGCTAAAATTTTCCAGACAGAAATATCTATTTAACCCCTCAAAAATGCTTCAGAATGTTTTATATAATGTTTTAACTTAATTTAAATTAATAATAATCTGTCGTATTTATGCATTTCTTTCTGCATGTCGATTCCTACTTTCTTTTTATTAGAATGTGAACATTCAAGTTATCAATTCCAGAAAGATCGCTGTTAATTCGTTAATTTGTAACCTACAGCGCCGTTGTTAATTTGTCAAATTTGATTGCCAGCGTGGAGAGCATCGCCCACGGAGTGGTCTACGCGATTAGGTGCGCCCAAAACGGAAGCATTTGGATCGGCGAGGATGGGAAACCGGTCTACGAGATTCAATTACCCGACACTCTGCCACTAAAGTCTTACGAATTCTCAGCCGAAGAAAATTAAACGAACTAGAGAATATTGAATTGTGAAATTTTTGTACATACAATTAAAGTATTATTATCGTAATTCGTGATCCGTGATATAATATTTACAATAATCGTAATGTAAATTCATTTCGTTCAAAATAATAATACATAAATTTCTGTACGATAAAATTTAATTATCAATATTTTGACCATTCCTTGACATCTCGATGAAATTCATTGATCTCAAACCGTTCCAATCTTCGACAATAAGATTCATTATATTTTACCTACGTGTTTAATCTGTGACGTTCATTATACAAGTTCCACAATTATCAACCTCTATAATACTCCGCGGATTTGATGTATTTTTGAAAATGTACCAGACGCAGATAAACCAAAAAACTTGAATAAAGATTAATCATAACTATAACGTCATTTGCATCGCAATCGAATAAAATTAAATATTTTTAGTCGTTATAATAACAAAACCGAGATTACTGTTCCCAACGAAATTCAACAAAAAAGAAAAAGAGAAACATTACTAAAGCTAAATCTTATCGAATCTGAAGACACCGCGAAGTAGAATCTTTGCGGGGTCACAGAATTTTTTGTCGGACCCCAAGCATTATACTATCAAGGACCACCGAAGACTCGATTACGCCAAAAACTCAAACTTTAATTCCTTATCTTTTATCGGGCGACTAAAGAGTCGAGGAAAAACAGCGTTAGGGTTGAAAGGTTGTTGACGTTTCCCCTTTTTTAGCTTTCAGCTCGGATCGCGCTTGAAATCGCGCGTCGCCATGCTATTCTCCGTGTACAAGTGCGTTCACATCGGTTCGTGTAACGATGTGTGTATAGTAATTCGCGAATCGACAAGCTGTGTGCACAAAACTTCATAATCAGCTCGGACAAACGATAACCCGGTAACATCCCGTTTAGCATCTATGAAGAGGATGCCGAGAATTGAGAGTAGTGAACGGGAGAAAAAATATTTATCGCTGCAGAAACGTGCAGAAAATGCTGAGTGCTCGTTCTTCCTCGTATCGATTGTTTGTTTTTGTTTCCGGAATACGCGCTCCTGTTTTGCAAGGAAGTAACATTCCAGACTGTGAATAAATTCATCGTTTCTGTGCACTTTGAAATTTCTCTGCAGAAAAATTGGATTTCGCGCAAAGATCTGCCAGTCGAATTATCACCGATCTAGGATTGTATTGATCGGGAACAACAACTTTCCCGTTTTCCTGATTCTCATTTACGCGTCACGCATATCAATTGTTTTGTCTCGTGAGATGTAATTATGTACAATCGTGTCTGGCTCGCTTTCACAGATCTCTAAGGACAAATATTATGTCTTCGCAAGGTGATATAGATTCGTAATATCTCTCCGCAATTATCGTAGCAATTAATGCATCTGAGATCTCGATGTTCTTATTCATAAGCGGATTGCGAAGAACGATGATCATCGATGTTTACTAGAACATCGGGGCCATTAAAGTCTCGAGCGATAATAATATTCAGGGCGGCACTTTCAACAATTGCCCCAATTGTCTCCTCCTTTTTATGGCTGCGTGCGAGATGTATGGATCATGTGTACGTCTTATTTGTCGCTAATTTACAAAGTTCATTTTAATCGCAAACACGTAACTGTCTTAAACTGCACAGCGATCTTTTACGTATTTTCTTATTTAGCAAGTAATAAATCTGTGTTATTATTAAAGAAAGTCATTGAGAACATTAGATTTCTGTTGGATTGTTGTGCACGAGTTCGTAATTATCGAAAAACCGGATGACGTGAATGTGCGAATGAACGACGAGCATCGACACAAGCGCATGGCTGGTAGCTATTGCCAGTCCTGCAACAATGTACCAATCCGTGAAATACAATGAGGAATGGCTCGCTTGCTTCTATTTGAACGCCGCGTCGCTTCGGACGCCGAAGAAGTAAAGTTCACCCGCGAACCAAATCATACCAGTTCGGTATATCTCGCGTTGGGACGCATGGGTGCCCCTACATTTATTATGCTCGGCGTGTCTGACATTAAATGCATTTTTCCTTTGATAAGAGGACGCGGAGCACGAGCTGCGCGTACGTCGACTACTTTATCAGCCCCGTGTGCCACACGACTCTCTGTGACTTATGTTTTTCTCAGATTACTTAGCCCCAACCGTCTCCGAGCTGTGCTTTCTGAGAAAAAAAAAATAGGTAAATGGCAGTCGGGGCAAGCGCTAACTATCTTCACAGAAAGGATAAGGCAGACGCGATAGACGTGGCCGAGAAAGTGCTCGCCCGAATGCGCTATTTCTATTCGAATGCATGAGTGTGTTTCCAATTTTCCTTAGAAATGAAAAAATAGTCATAAATAAAAAATATTTTTCAAGTCGTTTGTTCTACTGTGACCATAAACATAATTTTATCGAAAATTTTATCGAATAGTGGCCACCCTTTGCGCTTTAATGGCTTTCTGAAAATAAAAATGGGGCAATTTTGTCGGGACAAACGCTGACTATCTTGAAAAAGGGTGGGAGTGAGTGAATGAGTGAGGGAGGGAGAGAGGGAGGGAGAGAGAGAGATGTGACCGAGAAAGTGCTCGCTCAAAGGAACTATTTCTATTCGAGTGCAAAATGTATTTCCAACTATCCACAGAAGTGGAAAACTAATAAAAAAATTGTCTTTAATACTTTTGTCTTAAATTGTTCTCAATATTAAATTTAAAAAATTGTCTCTTTGAAAAGTTTGTAAATTAGTGTAATTATATACGCGCGTTTGATTTTCTTCATATTTTGTTTAAATACAACACTTTTGTAAAATATACAATTTAATTAAGAATATCAAAGCACTTGTCATGAAGGAATGTCAACGTTTTGTATCATGACAAGTATACTCGTCAAATCAGTTTACTGGCCAAACGTGGCATGGATAAACGTGCGCATTTCATGAACGCAAAATGAAAAATAACGTAAGAAATGAAAATATTCTAGGTTCAATTAAATGTCGGCGTTCTCGGGTTGAAGACAAACAGTGAACTAATGCAACTTCTGCAACGATCACAGTACTTGCGTGAACTCGTGTGAAGCAAATTGTTTGGACATAATACAACTTCTCCATGGTCGATGCAACGATACTCCTCCTGGAATTGGCAACATAAAAGTCCCAATCTATATTGGTCGACTCATACGAAGCAATTCTTCAACGAAGGGAGTTTCTGACTGAAATTTTTGGCTCGATAACATTATCGCCGTTGAACTAGCGATCTCCTCGACTCCAATGTAAAAAACGAATTCGTTAGAAATTGATAAGAAAGAGTCGGATCTCATTATCCACGATTATTGACGCATTACAGTTTCCTTGCGCAGTTCCGCGTCGTCAAAGATCAGATCAGATGAGTCAAGGAAAGTGGACAGCCTCCTTGACCCACGCTCTTCCTTCCCTTCATCTATTCATAAGAATCACGGAAGTCGTGTCATCCGTCAATCCGACCGATCGCACATCGATGCATTTTTATCGGACGGTCGTTGCACCGTAACTCATTCCCAGTGCGTCATTCGACACGAAGATTTAATCGCCCATCGGAATCATACGATGGCTTCTCAGTAATTTTTAGTTCTGACCTGCCTTGACCATTCTCGCCTTCGTAGAATTCCTCGAACGAAATTTTACGCTTAAAATTTAAACAATCACAAAACGGATGAATTTCTGCAAGAAAATATCTCAATTTTAATCTTCGTGCTGCATAACATCAGTCCACGAAAATATTCGTACCACACTTAGACAAAGGTGATTTTGTCTTGTTTCCTTTGTCAAAAAAACCACATATCACTATAATTTTATTATTTTACACTAATTTGAAATTAGCATGGCGAGATTGCCCATTCCAGATGCTGTCATGCAGCCCCAAACCATCATCGAGCCTCCATCATATTTTACAGCCTAAACTATCAAAGGTTAAATTTCGACTCGTCCGAAAATGTCGATTTTGGAGAAAGTTTTGGGAGATCGAAGTTTCGAGAAAACTATTTCTTCTCTATAAATTTTTTTTTATAAACAATGAGTGAGAATACTTATGGGACCGACTGTGTAATGCAAGTCGAAACAAAAAGCTCTGCACCTCAAGTTTGATCTGTCCTGTTATAATTTATAAATGTGCGTACAGTAACGATACGGACCGCAGCTGAATTAATTATTCCGAACGAAAGGGTTAATTAACACGCTATCGTCTGTCCGTGGCGCGTCTATTACGAGGGGAGGAGTGAACAGTGCTCGATCGCCCTCGGTTAGTATCCACGAAGCTGCGTGCGATAAAAATCCACGACGCGCCGCATCCGTATCGTCTTTTCCGGCGCCAATCGCGATTCGATAGCTTTATTCGCGTATAAATACCACCGGCGAACACCGGCCACGCTTCAGTACGCGAAGAAACGGTCACCCTCTTGCACGAGTTCTCCTTCCTCGACAGAAGCTCTCCTCATTCCTTCCGCTCATGGATTCGTGGAAAACACTGGACGGTGAAATGGGTACGTTTGATCGTACCTTCAGAGAAAATGGTGCGAAATATGAGAAAAAAGAAATAATGAGAATATCGATGCTTTCTAAGAAACACTCTCCTACTTCTATTCCACAGACCTTCGAAAGATGTGAAATAATTAAACGCTGTTGCTCTCGAAGAAATTTGAGAGCTAGCTCAATAACGTTCTTATTAATCTCTTACCAGATCTTACTTATATCTATTGTCATTTCTCTTGTCAATCACGAATGACACTTGTCAATTGAACTTCAAAATATTGCTTCTCGATCATTAAATGGCGCATGAAAATTTTCTCATTTCTTTCATCGCGTTTCCGTTTGTTTATTACGAGAACAAGTGCTAAATTCCCATGAACTTTGCAGAGACCATACCCAACGTCAATCATAGACGCAGACGGTCGTCCGCGTCCGAGAAAGCGAAGGAGATCGATGCGATCAAAGAGGTCGTTTTCGGTAAAAATGTTCTGATCACAGGAGGCGCCGCGGGTTTGGGACACGCGTTCCTCAACCACTTTTTGAAGCACGGTGCAAATGTAAGTGACGCAACAGTATTTGAAATGTATCGCCAACCATTCGATGAAACATTGAATTGTTCCTGTCGTCGGACGATTTCAGAAGGTAACGATATTTGACATCGATGCAGAGGCTGGCAAGAGGATCGAAACGAGCGTCGAGAAGTCCTGCGGCGAGAAGAAAGTCCATTTTATTCACGTCGACGTCTCTAATTACGCGCGTATGACTGGTAAGTCATTCGCATAATGAGCTCGTTCGGTTCACGATAAGTGATAACATTTGGTTACGGCCTAACGAATTCTTGAAACGTCAGAATAGTCATGTAATTGATGGTGATAACGATAATACTGAACCTCGATATAATGCAAACATAAATATTTTGTTAATTCGAAAGAAAAAAAAAAGAAATAGACATGAGAATGCAACTTGCATTTCATCTCTGAATCTGATCGGTTTTATTTGCCATCAACTTCTCTCTTTCGTTATTCTTGCAATTATTCGAACATCTTCGTCCATTGAATCCTTCATCTACTTTTCATTTACCTCTTAGTTTCAATCGAGTTCTATTTCTATTCTTACAGTTACTGAAGAAAAAAATTGTGACAGAATTCTTTAGACGCTTCGAAAATTCAATTTTCGTTCGGTTCGTTTCCATGCAGTGATCTTTGTTAATTAGGAATTAATTTCTGCAGAAGCTTTCGAAGAAACGTTGAGGCTGATGAAAGAAATCAATATTGTCGTGAACAATGCAGGTATCTTGGACGAGCGAAGGTGGGAGAGGGAAATAGCGGTGAACATTGTGAGTAAAAAGAGGGATTTCCTTCGTCCTTTTATTGTTTATTGCTTTCGGCACGCCTTCACGACGCATATTTCAGGGAGGAATGATTGCCACCGCGATGTTGGCTGTGAAATATATGAGCAGAGACAGTGACGGTCATGGCGGAATGTTGGTGAACGTCAGCCAGCACATAGACATCAAGAGCACGGCGCAGCTTCCGGTTTACACAGCCACGAAGCACGCCGTCATCGGTCTCTCGCAATCCCTTGTGGTAAGACGATTATTTACATATAACATTATACAATTCCACATCCGCGATGATAATTGACGATGATACACACGGTATAAATAGATAACAATTATCTATCGAGGCTACAATCCTTATCAATATTATATGAGACATAACTAGTGATCAGCACAGAAGTTACTAATTTCGAACTCAACTTCTGGGACCTATCAATATTTTTCAATTATGAAATGAAAGAGTGCGTTGGTCTGTGCTTTCTTACAGTTCTGAACTTATTGCAAAAAAAAAAAGAATTAACAGAAAAATATGAATAAAACCATGAATAAACTGTGCGTAAAATTATAGAGAATTTAAGCAAGCAAGACAAATCGCTGGAATGCTTTCTGATACTTCGAACGATAAAGATGACGTTGAAGATTGCCCCAACCGTACAAATCGGAGTCAAAAACTTTCACATCCTGAACTTAATAAAAAAGACAAACATTTATACACTAATATCTTTTTATATACGAGTTTTATCGTTGTATCGGCTTTATCCTTCATAAAACTATTTCCACATGAAATACATAAAAGTTACAATGCTAGACGTTTCATCTAACTTACTGAATACTTTTTCGCCGGGGGGAGGATGAAACATAAACGTTGTATTAACCCGCCTTAGTGCACTATAATTTGCAAATAAAACCGAATCCGTTTCAGAACTCTTATCAGTACGAGAAAACCGGTATCCGCGTGATAACACTGTGCCCCGGGTTAACAGAGACAGCGCTCACAGTGGATAGCCCGAACAAGTTGCTGTCGAGAGTGATGAAGGCGGACTTCGTGAAGAATCTCGAGCAGTTGTCGATACAGACGTGAGTGTGCTTAATCTTGTACACCCTTTGTATCCCTCCAGCTCTTCCTTAGCTAACCCTAACTGTTCGCTTTTCGTTGTAGGCCGTACGTGGTGGCGCAAGGTCTAATGTCGATTCTTAGGCACGGAGAGTCCGGTAGCATATGGGTCGTGGAGAACGGTAGCAGCCCGTACGAGGTCTACGTTCCGAATCCGCGCACTTTGCGCCGCACATACAAGAATAACTTTACGTTCGTTGAAACGAAGCCGCAGACCAGAGGTCGTCCGATAAGAGAAGTCTGCGACAACACGCGAACAGGTCTGATGAGCTGCGCTTGATGAAAAGAGAACAGGAAGTCTTGATGAAGATCGTGTTCCCTCGAATCTTGTTTGCGAGTCTCTTCTCGAGATTGGAACCGGCAATCTTTTCGTAAGATTTGTCGAAAGACGATGTGAACCGAAAGCGATCGTACCTTCAGCTTCCGGGATACGTCGTGGACGAACGAGACTCGATGCGTTGCTTCTCAGAAATGGCGGCGCTGAGAAACAACGGCCGCATCGAGTTGCATGAACCTTCGTAACAATCAGAAATGATAGCGTAAGGCAAAGTGTTAAGGTGAATCGCTTCGAGATATCCTGAGCGATTGATACAGTATCAAGTATTTATACGCATCGCACTTTGTACATAAATCATCGTATTTAATGTAAGATTAAGAACAATGGTATACATTCACTGCATATGACCGTGTCTCTTTTATTTGAAACATCTGTTTGTCCTGTTCTTTTTCTTAGCACTGTCAATTTACAATCTCTTGTGCCGAACAATAATTTCTCACATCATCAAAGAAAAAGTGATCTATGATAAATTGACGAATACTTTCAACTTAAATTCCTTTCTCTCTCTCTCTCTCTTTCTCTCTCTCTCCCTCTCTGGCGCTTTCTCTTGAGGTGAATCAGTGAACTTATATAAAGAGTACAATAAACGTTCCTTTTCTTTTTATTATCTCAGTATTATTTCAGCATTGGGAATCACAATATCCGCTGTACAAAACAAAAATTTATCATCGGAAAACCGCATACACCGTGCATTCTTTACACACGCAATGCATAAAACTTAAAAGTTATATTTTCTTTTTTTTGTTTCTTATCCCCCATATTCCTCGTTCCTATTTTTACTTATCATTACACATTATTACGCGTTTATTCTTTTATTTTTTTGTTTTTGTAACTTTACCTTGCAACATTTACTGGTTATGGAGGTTCCTCTTCGACTTACATGTAACTAAATCTCATTGTTATGTATGTATATACCAGTATACGCTGGGACTCCATGCGAGCCATAAGAAAATAACAGTCGCAAATAATATACCTATTCTGCCTTTCTTTTTTTTTTCTCGCGTCTTATACGTTTAAGGACATTATCATGCTTCTTCTCCTCCTCCTTCTGCTCTTTTTAGAGTTTTACCCTCAAAAAACGCTATCAGCGAGCTTTACGCAGCGTCTTCGTACATCAAAAACGACCTCTTCGAGGGATCCGAAGCTAGCTAACGCAGTCGAACTACAAGAAGGTATCCGCGCGCGCTCTCGCTCACATTGTTCACTTAACACTAACATACCATCTGTTCAATGTCTCAAAAAAAACCTAATAGTCAATAAATCGATGTACGATTCAGCATCGCGCGCGTGTGCCTACCTACTATATATATCAACCATACAAAATCAATCTTTCTATTTTTCCCCTTTGCTTGTTCGAAAATCAAAACCCGCTGTATAAAACGTACGAGTAAAGAATAATGATTTCACCTTGATTCGCGTCATCATCTTAAATAAATAAAGTTCTGACTGCTCGAAATAACCATAATGTATTGTCCTACTTCCTAGTCTGCGATTAAACGCATGTTCCACATGTTCATTCTTCTCGATCCCTGCTAATTTGTATTCCGCCTCGTGTCGAATCATCGACGTGTACGCAAAACACAAAGAATTAGTCAGTTTTCTAATTAGTTCATCCGTCTACCCGCCCCTGGAAATCGTTTACCCCGAACACTCGTACCTCTCGCAGTATATATTCACATGCATCCGCCACGTTGTGTTCAAGAAAAAAAAAGAAAGTCCCGTTGAGATTCATAGCGTTCTCTCATCCCGTGATCTCATGTAGTTTGCATGCTTCTCGTGTTCCGAATAATAGTGTGCGGGCCCGGAACGAGCCCGTAAACTGAGGATGCCGTGACAAATCAGGTTGCCTTTGTGATTATTGTTTCCGCGAACATTCTACCGTCCAGCATGTGTTATTGTACTCGTTTACATTTATCAAGCATTCGACGATTTCGTAACTCGTAGGACATAATGGCTCTTGAATATCGAGTTTTCGAAATTAACTACTTATGTAACAATAAGGTTCATTATTTATTTGTCGAGAAATTTCAAACGCAGGTCTCCGCCCCGAGCATCCGAGCTTTTTAATTCGCTACAGTGTTCATACTCCTGCGTGGTGATACAAAAAAAATTATCCTTAATAAAGTTCTCTCAGAGAACTTTTATTTTTCACCTTTTGTTTGCGCCCCCCCCCCCCCTCTCCCCACCCCTACCACCCACAATTCATGGTTCATTCTCTCCTTTCTTTTGTCTTCTCTCTATTGTTTACCGTGAATCATTGAATCCTTCATGAAAGTTGAATTCAATTCAAGTCAGTCCGTAAGGGCAGAGCACATATAGTAAAAATCTTAATCTAGAGTGAATACTTATAGATAGTTAGTGACCGCGTCGGCTCGTTCAAAAAGATACCACGCGACTGTTCTGCTGCGACTGGGGAGCGGATTGTTCGTTGGTCGTGCGCTGGCTTTGACTGCCCGGGTTGCTCTGTTGTTGTTGGTTTGCCGGCTTACGGTTACCTCCTCTGGAGCCTCTGTAACCTCCACGGAAACCGCCGGCACCACCACCACCTCGATACATGCCTCCCATCCCACGGTTATAAAATCCGCGTCCACGGAAACTACCGCGCCTCGTTGATGCCACACCAAACGTTTCAGAGTTCAATTTGCGTTCTGTCCTCCAATCTGTACGTTGGAATCCACTGTAATAGTTCAAAGAAGCATCATACACCACGCAGTTCACACCCCTAGGATTGCCTTTACAAACTTGAATTTTTCCTTCAAACGAATAGGAACGTCTTACACGATAAACTCTGATAATCCTCGTACTACCTAGCTAGAAAATCTTCCTCTGATTAAACGTCTGTATCCACTTCTGCTTACATTTGGACAATATCCACGAATTTTTAACACAAAAGAAATCAAAACTAAGACGTCCATAAGTGATCCAATAATGTAAGAATGAGTGTGTAGTCATATGAATGTGGTATGAAGGTGAGTGCATGGTTGTGAATGATTAGGACGTACCGATCGGAATCGGATGGAAGCGAAGCGAAGAATGAGGACAGAGGACAGAGGACAGTGTTTGCTGCATTGGGTAAAGTATTAAGTGATTACCCTAATCGATCTAAAATTCCCTACAACAAGACATTTTCATCTGACATAACATTATGAGCTATCAAAGTGAAATGAAAAATTGTTTCTTGCTTGAATATGAGAAAAGGTACACCTATTCCTTCCAATGATTAAATTATCTTACATATTTCTAATGATTGGTAAATTCAAATAAAAATTAACAAATAATATCCACTGCAAACTCACCCTTTACTCCTTTCGACAGCCTCGCAGCTAATATTATCGAAGAAAGATTTCGACTTATCGTAATGAACTATCTCTGGCTCCTCCTCAGGTTCTCCTTCACCTGCTCCGGTTTCGTTGCCGCTATCATCCTTCTTCTCGTTATCAGCACCAGAATCGATCTTTGTTTTCGCCAATTGAGATCTGAAATCGATTACATGATATCATGAATCACTGAATATATTAACATTTATCATGCATGAAAAATAAATAATTTGTTGCTGCGTTGCGTAAGCAATGTACAAGTTGCATTTATACACTTCTTTAAAAAACGCATATACTTTAATTTTGCATGGTGTCCACTTTGCACATTTCAAATTGTACTTGAAATGAATCCGGCACTAACCATGCTATGGAATATGTGTTACACCTGGATCAGATGTTTACCTCAACTCCTCAAACTCAGTGTTGGCTTGCTCAAAATCGTAATCGTTATCGAACTTCAATGTGTTCTTCGGTTTGGCACCAGCATTACCAGGTTGATTTCTAAAGCCACCACGACCTCTTCCTCTACCTCTCATGTTTCCACGATTCATCCAGCCACCACGATTCCCTCTGCCACCTTGCGGGTGGGCACCTTGACCTTGCATCTGACCATCCTGTTTCATTGGATCACGTTTGCCATCGTTGTACTGCGTGATAGCACCGCCCGGTTTGTTAGCAGCATGGCTAGAAGTTGAAAAGTAATACATATAGGCACCGCAGAAAATCGGTATGTCAAGAGTTCCATAGGTGATAGAGATGAACATACTCTATGTCTACTAATAACTTGTTTTTGGACAAAATGAAATTACCTATCATGATCACGACGGGCAGGTTGAATGGTTCTCATATTCGTCTTGTCACCAAGTTTTCCAATAGTACCACTTTGTTGTTGTTGTTGTTGCTGATGACTTACCTGAACACCCTGATCCATTGTAGGACTTTTCCTTGTCAATAAGGATGAAGTTGGAGTTGTTGACCTTGAACCACTGATAAGATCTAATACGCCTATAATAATAATGTGAACAATCATATTCGTGTCTTATATAGTAGTCATAATTATTGAAATGCTTACTTTAAATACGCGAACTAATATATGACATATTATATAAGATGTCCAA